TCATCATCATCAGCTGCTGCGTCCTTATCTCATTTATTTGGGGTTCATATGTAACACCTGTTATGACATACGGTGCCGAAACGTGGACACTGACGATACGACTGGTCCACCAACTCAAAGTGGCTCAACGAGCTATGGAAAGAGCTATGCTTGGAGTTTCTCTGAGGAATAAAATCCGAAACGAAATAATTCGCCAGAGAACTAAGATCACCGACATAGCTCTTCCCATCTGTAAGTTCAAGTGGCAGTTGGCTGGTCATATCTGTCGCAGAACCGATGCTCGCTGGAGTAGGCGTGTTCTAGAGTGAAGACCGCAAATTGCCAAACGTAGTGTAGGACGCCCCGCAGCTAGGTGGAGCGACGACATACGTAGAGTTGCGGTTGAGAAGGGCTGAAGATCGTCCCCAGTGGTGTGCCTTGGGGGTGGCCTATGTCCAGCAGTAGACTGCAGGGCTGATGATGATGATGTAACACCTTCCTATGGAATTATTTTAATCAACGACAGAAGATTACTCTTCAACACCGAGACCGCCGCCATTTTCCTACTTCCTCTATTGTATTCATTCTTCATCTTATCCATTCTCGTCACACCACACATCCATCTTAACATTCGCATTTCAGTTGCATGTAGTCGTCTTTCATCCATCGCCTTTACGGGCCAGCACTCTGAACCATACAAGACAGCAGGTCAGATCAGGGTCTTGTAAATTTTACGCGGAACAAGTGAGTCACACTAACAAATAAACTAATTAATATGGATCCTTCTGGACGGACCACATGAATGTACCAATGTTTTCTTAAAGAGCAATATTTATACTTTGACTCTTATGTAATGTAATATGGACTCCATTTTCCGCAATTAGTCTCTCATTTGGACCGTTGTGCGTGTAGAGCCGAGGCTACTAACGTAGCCAGCCAAGCTCCTTCCAGAAGCGCAGAAGACTGCTGGTGTCTTCACAGGCTTCGCGGATCGACCTCACCGTTCCGAGTGTTGTGTGGCCACTGCTGCGCAATCCAAGATTACGTGAGTGGCCTTTTCTTCGGCTTCAAAGCATCCCCGACTTTGTCTCTTCTATTTAAATACATACAGACGAGTACAATTTCGACTAAATAATAATACTTATTTATAAATGTACTTGCTCATATATCAGAAGTTAGCGGAAATAATAGCGGGAAACTTACAAAATTATAACAAATAATTAATAAATGTTAATAAATAATTAATACATTATTCTGTAATATAATTTTTAATATTTAGTTGAGGGTACTAATAGTCCATAATATATTTATATTAAGGTATTTACCTTATAGACTAACATACATATTATGTAATAATAATATAAATATAATTCATCTCTATAGTCAAAGCAATCTGCCACGGTAGCGCTGATACACCACCTTCTTCAGACAGTAGTCCCCCTTGATGGAGGTGGGAAGCATGTTGTTGGGACCCGGATCAGAGACGCCTTAAAATTCGCGTTGTGACTCAACTCCTACTTCGTCACCCTCAATATCAGGTTACTCCTGGTCCGTATATTGGCGACAATGTCCTGCTCCTTTATTATTTACTAGCTGGCCCACGCAACTTCGTCTGCAGCACATTTACTTGACCAATTTACAAAATATGTTTTTAAATTATAGCCTATAAGTTATTATAATGTATGAGCTATATTATTGTAAAATTTCATCAAAATCTGTTTAGTAGTTTTTGCGTGAAAAAATAACAAACATCCACCCTTACTCACAAACTTTCGCGTTTGTAATATTAATAAAATAATGTATACAATATAATTGTATAGTATTAATGACAGATCTAATAATGATTCAAAGCAAAAAATACAGTATTTTGATACACTGTAGTGTATCGGGTCAAGTTCGTATAAAAACAACAACACGCAATTAATTACACGAACAAATCTACATAATGTACATTATGTATACACATATTTGAATAATACTCAATTATATCTCGGTACATACAATAGTACAATTAGTACAGAATACATAAGTGGCAAATTATGGAATAAACTACCTGCCGAGGTTTTCTGGAATGGAATTTTCCAAGAACGCGCACATTTCACCTCTAGTTTTTCAGATATCCTTAGGCTTGGTAACCGTATACCACTAAATATATACTGTATACTTTATTACCGACGTTGTAGTTATGAATACAGTCAACCGAAAATATATATTTATTGGTACATGTGCAAAATGTAACTGGTTGTTTGTACGTGGAAAATATTTGAGATAACTATTGTAGGGTAGCTTTATGCTTGTTATGTATAACAACATTATACACATAACAAGGGAGGTGAAGTGGACTGGTAGTAATGTGAACTAATAACCACATTGCTATCAATGTACCGTATCAGGTTGACCTTCATGTGGTTCCCCCTGGAAACCATCGTGATAAATTCATGTTGAATTTACCACGATGGGCTAACTGACCTGATCTCATACTCATCTTATTATCCTCCACTGTTGCCCTGCCAGCGTAAACCGTTGCACGATTCCATTATCATCTATAAAAATAATACACATAGCAATGTTTTTTATATTTTTTGTGTCTGTTTATACACGCTATCTTGTCAGCTTAACCGATTTGGGTGCGGTTTTCGTTAATTTTATTTAAAGTAAGCATGACTAAAAATTTTGTGTTTTCTATTCAAATTTGTTTACGAACAAAACTATAGTTGTTACGAATACCACAGGTTCGTAGTTGCGAGCTCAGTTAAAACTGCAATATAGCCATTGTATGTAAATTTCCACCACCCGTCAGAACTGTTACATCTTAATATACATTTAAAAAATACTTAAAAACACACTTATTGTAGCAACAAAAAGCGCAGTGGCATCCTAGTTGTTTTAATTTTGCTTACAATTTTACATATTTTTTATTTTTTATATTACTATTTTTATATACATATTCATACCTATTTATATATCTCTAATTGCATTATAGTATTTCAGTATTTAAAATCTGGTACTCTAAAATTTCAATTTCTTTTATTATTTCTAGCTACCCCAGTTTCGCACGGGTGTACATGTATTATACATATAAACCTTCCTCTTGAATCACTATATACTACTAAAAACTACATTAAAATCCATTGCGTAGTTTAAAAGATCTAAGCGAACAGACAGCGGAAGTGACTTTGTTTCATACTATGTAAAGATTTTCTATTGTTTCGTTCGGGGTTTTTTAAACATTCTTGATGATGACTTGATTCTCCACACTGAACTATGAGCCATTTTTAATGCCTTGGCACATATATTCAGTTTCACTAATATTGTATTGCATTAGTTGATATAATCCATATTGTGTACTATTTGTAATAAAGTCTGTACATGTGTACTACGATACAAATAAAAATTCTTATCTATCTAAATGTAGCGCGATGGTTATGACCTCACCACTGTAGCGTTATATATCTTGTGATGAGGTGTCGCTACATAATTTATATGTTTACGGTAGTATGTAGGTAGTGTAATAATTGAACTACATTAATAAATTTATTTTATAGTGTGCAATATGCGTAATATGACGTATTAATAAAGTGGACTGGCTTTACAATGAACTTAAATCTATGTTATCTGGAGAAATAAACTAGTGGAAAGGTCTCGAGTGTTGACAGAAATATTACAAGTGTTGGCACATAAATAATTATAATTTCAAGTTAGGTTACATATTAAAAATTGAAATTACATTGTTCGAAGGCGTAAACTTTATCCTGAGGAACTGAATCGAGATGTACACAGGCGTTAGAATATACTGTGACATGGTGAAACAGCCTAACGCACGTTCCCATGGTACACGATGGAATGCACAGCATGCGATATGATCTTATGTTTCCTTTATTATGTCACGTAGTTCATAAAATATAACATGCATATACATTTAGGTAAAGCATTCTAATATATAAAATTCTCGTGTCACAGGTTTTGAGTTTATATGACTTAGACTTTGATGAGATTTTATATGTAGATCTAGGTTTATAACAAATTTTTATACCTCATTTAAGGGTCACGGCAAAAAAAAATTTATTCATTTTTCGACAATTTTTTTATTTTTTTATTATTTGGCATTAAAAAATACATACAGCCATAAAGTTTCACCCTATCAACCCCTATTAGATAATAGCAATATATACTATCAACAACCTATTAGATAATAACATATAATATTTATTTATAATTATTATATTATATTATTATTATATTATAATATTAATTGATTTGTATGTATAATATAATAATAATCCCTATGTATGATGTATAATATGTGTGAATTGTCCAGTCTTATTATTATTATTGTGACATATTAAATCTCCAAAATCAGTAAGGAAACATTTGGTTGTTTTGTAAAGTTGTGTTAGAAAATAATAGAAAATCTTAAGATTAAAGAACTTTTCAATTTTAACTTTTTTTAAATTGAATAATCATAACATTTTTTTTTAATCTACCGCCCATTCGGGAAGCTGTCTCATCACAAGAAGAACGAGCAAGAAAAAATGTGTTGCTCTTTTAAATAACAATAAACTTACAAGGAAGTTTACATTTACAAGTCGGAACGTGTGAATACAAACCACCAACTAGCACTAATTTATTAGGGTCAAATATAAATACACAGTAAGATTAAACCGTCGTAGTGATAAGAGCAGACCAGTCTCTACAAGCAGCACCCGTTTACGAGTATGACGGATGAGCCAGCCATCACTGCGCTCGACCATATTTTAGGGAGCCCAATGACCCGGCCCACCACGCCGCCACTCGACCACATCATAGCTACTTAAAATTGCTATATGGTAGTTAAGATTCTCGAGTGTCTGCTTCTTTTTCAACTGGAACTCATTGCACTTTCTTGTGACGATTTCCTTAAAGTTCTCATTTTCCAGAATCTATTAAATGAGCCCGTTAGTTTGTACGTATGTATGTCTTTATTTAAAAGTCTTCTAATAAAACCATTCAACATATCTGTATTAATAAAAAATTTCTTACAGATTGGTCGAGGGAACTCAGCTACGATAGAATATACAATAATACGAACTACCCACAGCTTCATCATAAACCGAGGCCATATACTATACCTTTACGTAGTTTTAATAACCAAATAGGATATAGAAACGTAGAAGAATTGAATGACAATGAGCTGGGCAGAGAAGATAATGAAGCTGAAGAGAAGAACAGAGAGGAGTGGAGACAAAGTCAACTGTTGGTGGGATTTGCTCGAGATCCCTTTAGATATTCAGTGCCAGAGGAAGATTTTGTGAAAGGTATTAGGTAGGTTCATTCTTTAATATATTAGTTATCTTTATTTCGTGTGGGACAATCTTTAACAGACAGAGAGCTTGTGTTATCGGTATTAGACAACTGATATAAATACTTAGATTTTTTTGTAAAAACACATAGAAAACACCCAAACCGATATAAACACTTATACTCATGAATACAAATGTATGCACCTTGCGAGGAATCGAACTCGCGACTATCGGAAGTAAGACGATTTGCTTAAATAAAGACATGTCCAAATTTTGCTAGGTACCTATATTTAAGTACTAGCTGTGCCCTCGATTTCGTTAACGTGGGGTAACTTAATCGTTTACGCAGCGCACGCAACGGAAGCCTTCAAATACAAAATAGGGGATATTTTAGCCCTCAAATACAAAATATTCCCGTTTTTCACTGACAACATTTTTCAGTGATACTTCGCTTCTATTGGTTGTAGCGTAATATTATATAGCTTAGAGTCTTCCTCGACAAATGGACTATCCAACACTAAAATAATTTTTCAATTTGAACCAATAGTTCCTGAGATTAGCGCGTTCAAACAAACAAACAAACTCTTTAGCTTTATAATATTAGTATATAGATAACATATTAATTTATATAAAGGCGCTTACACCTAAATTTAAGGGTAAATTTACGCTGTGGTCTTATTTCTTTTACAGATATGTAAACCCACGCTCGAATAGTGGGAGACGCGAAAATCGAGGTAAACGCGGGCTGTTACATCTTTACAATATGATCTATTGCTCTACTGGCTGCGAGCCCCTGTCCTATAAGGGGTACGGATGCTACTGTGGCCTGCTCGGATCTGGGAGACCCACCGATGGTATTGATAGGTAGACATTATATTTTTTTTATATGGTTAATACGCTGACGCCCTATGTGATGATAAGTGGTAACTGTGCAAATCCAAATACATGAACAGTCATCACGTCATCTTGTGACCACGGATTGCCACACCACTCTACTTCTAATGGTCGCAGGTTCGATTCTTTGCCTATGTTATGGGTCTTAACAACTGATTGAAATACGTGTATACATTTTTTTGTAAATACAAAGAAAACAGCCAGATCATTCCCATAAATGCAAATGTTTGTATCGACGAGGAATCGAACCCGCGACCATCAGAAACGGCGGTAAGTAAACTGGTAGTCCATCGAGGCCGTCAAGTGCTAATAAGAATTAAGTTTATTTGAACAGCGAGTATTTGTATCTCTAGTTTTTGCGCGGCTCCGCCTTAGAACGGTTACACCTATTACGTTTGCTACTGTGACCTGTTGGGGTCAAGGAGACCAAACAATTCTATCGATACATGCAATATATTCATGTAATATATTTTTAGTAATATTCTAAAACATATTATAACAGTGTTACTGTTAAGTAGAGTTGCTAAACCCAAAAAAAAAAACCATGATGTGAAGTTGGAAAACAAGGACAGTTCAAATAAAAAGACCATGATGTGAAGTTGGAAAACAAGGAAAGTTCAGCTTGTGTTAAAAACAGTAAATACATACATATTATAATGGAGATACAAACAATCATTGTGATACAAATGTTTGTGCAAAATAATATGTAACGAAAACAGGTGAAATGAAATTCAAGTAATTAAAATAATCATATTTTTTAATAAATGTATTTTAATAAAATTATGCGTATTGAAAAATAGCTGTTAAGAGGCGCGTGAATTTAAAAATTTTACAACTTGCGATTATGTATTAGATCTACTAGTGCCCAGGACACTACAAAAATTAGTACATATTCTGGAAACTATAACATTATTTTGCAGTTGCTATTATTTTTTTATATATCAGTGTTTTTATTGTTGGTGTTGAAATTTTATTCTAAGAATTGGTAACAATAATGAATAGGTACATAAAAATTACCCAGAGCGATACAAACTATCATACTTATGAATACAAACGTTTATACCGTTCGAGGTATCGAACCCGCGATTATCGGAAGTAAGGCGGTGTGGAAATCTGCTAGACCATCGAGACCGTTATGTTGCAGCTGAATACTCAACAACTAGATTGAATATCGAAATAAACTTGTTTTTTTTTGTTTAAAATTGTTTTTTTTATAAACATTCTTTATTGCACTTAAATACATTTGTAAGTATATTAATTACAACTAATGTTAACAAAGGAGGAATTTCTAATGTTTGACCTAAAATTATACACGATATATTTGGAAACGTCAGACAAATAATTATTTGGTATGGGTACTAAATAAAACGACTAAATTTAGATGTCGCCTGTTAAAACTGTAGGCGACTCTACACATTCACACAATTTGAATACTTTAATAGCATATACGGTCAAACACAAATAAGTAATTTTATAACAGAAGTTCTTTGTGATAATTATAATTATAGACGAAGAAGTAAAGGGACGAATGAAGTATAGTGATAATTAATTTACTCTACCTTATCTGATTAGGATCTAGCGTGAATATAAAATTTTTAATTTTTTTTTACTCTAAATAGATTCATCTTTCGCCAAAGGCACTTACCGATACAAATGATTTTGTACGAAGATTTCCAATGCTAAACTAAGGTAAGTTCAGCATTGGAAGTCTTCGAATTACTTCCATATATAGGTAAACATATTACAATACTATATCTATATCACTTGTCAGCTTCAAAGTTTCAGTCAAATCCCATTTTTTTTTCCTTTCATTTCTTATAGTGCTTTTAACTCATGGTTCTTCATTATAAGCAAATCTATATGGGCTCCTAAGTATTTAGTGTTTATATATATATGTTTATTATGTGTACCACTTACCCTTTTCTTATCTTTACTATCTCGATCCACCCAAAGACAGCCTGGAAGAAATTATTTGCTTACTTAAGACCGGCTTTTGTATAAGTCGATTACTATTTTCCATATAATTAGTTTTTATTAATTAATAACAAGTATAATTAAATAAATATATACATGAAATTCTGATAATAAATGTCTACTAAAGTTTGCAGCCTGCCATCCAAGCTGTGTTACAGTCTGATAGGAGAGATAACGCAATGAAATTCCTCGATATGGACAGCTACAGTCACCGCTTCCTATCGGACGATATGCTTATTTTCAAAAATTTACTACCTTCGTCTTCATTAACAGGTGTTGCAAAATGCACGACGAATGCTACGAGAACATCCACTGCCCAGTCTTCACAGTTTACTTCCAGCCGTACTACTGGAAGTGCTACAAAGGTAAGCCACTCTGCGCTCTAGAGAACTACAACACACAGCATCAGTTCATCAACGGGTGCGCAGCCAAGTTGTGCGAGTGCGATAGAAAATTCGCCATGTGCGTGAAGAGGTATAACTGCCCGCGACAGAGGGCGCTGTGTAAGTCTTCTCCGTTGCGGTTGCTACAGAATTTACTGCTATTCTGGTAACTCAATTCGTGGTAAGAATGCGCGGTGGCTTCAAAATGTAACAGCAAATAATAAAATCTTCCTGAGAGGACCAATTTTAATTTTTCTTTGTGACTTCGGAAATTAGAGTGCGCAGTAGCACTTCGAGATAATAACAAATACTGAAACCTTCATGAGCAGAGCTTATTTTTTTGTGACTTTGGGAAATTCCTCACCAGCCTCAAAGACAGCAACTGGTGTTAAAAAATAAGAGTGCGCGGTGATGAAATCAGAAACGCAAATAATGAAAACTTCATGGGAAGAGATTTTTTTTGTGACTTAGAAATAACTTCACTAGCATCAAATACAGCGGTTGGTGTTAAAAGATAAGAGTGCGCGGTGATAAAATCAGAAACGCAAATAATGAAACCTTCATGGGAAGAGATTTTTTTTGTGACTTAGAAATAACTTCACTAGCATCAAATACAGCGGTTGGTGTTAAAAGATAAGAGTGCGCAGTGATGAAATGTGAAACGCAAATAATGAAACCTTCATTTGAAGGGATTTTTTTTGTGACTTAGGAAAAACTTCACTAGCATCAAATGCAGCGGTTGGTGTTAAAAGATAAGAGTGCGCGGTGATGAAATGTAACACCAAATAATAAATCTTCATGAGAAGATAATATTTAATTCTTCTTTAGTCACTTTGGAAAATCTTTGACTAAGACAGCAATTGGTAGTAAAAATGTACTTTCACGTCTAACCCCAGATGGGCTAGACAGGTGATATCATCTTTAGCGTTATAGTGAACACAACACTTGATATGGCCGCATTTCGACAAACCATAAACCATCATCTATTGGATTAATTTCGCTTGTTATCGGTATAACCATCACCAGAAAATTAGTCACAAATATAAACCAACTCAAAGTTATTTCGAATCGGCCAGATTTGAATTCACTACCTTGAGTTCGAAGGTAGCAAACTCAGCTACTTCGCTCTCTAAACTACACTATGTATCTCTTAACTTCGTAGCCAGGCCACATCTCTATAACATACTAATACGTTTCAATGTAACCGTTCTTAAAAATTCGCTACACACCACTAAATCACCCTTAAAACTTATGGGCGACGATCACTCATCACCAGTTGACTTGCAAGCTCATTTGCTCAAACAAAATAGCGAAGTTGTAAAAAACGGCATCCAAGTTCCAGTTAAAATTATGCCATAATTTGCTCTTGTACCTTATCTTGTAAATAAAAGTTTATTAGTCAACAAGACAGTGTGTTTATTTTGTAACTAACCTTTGCCGACTTCGCTCGAAAAAATACTAACATTAGTGTTTCCAGATTTCCGCCTTGCTTTCCTCCCAAATTTTGTTTAAAATCTTTAGAAAAATGTCCACAATAAAGAAAAATGTTAGGTAGTCCGTATAGAATGTGACCATTTTCCAATAAAGTAATGTTCTTATTTTATTTATACGTTAAAGACGCATATGGTATTTTATAATTTGATAAAATACCACATATTCATTATTTAGACCACGTGTTGAACCATTTTTTAGTCCTACACTAATGTGTCAAATACACTCTTTAAGTAGAAAACCTTCAATGTGGCATTACTTTAACAACTAGTTTTTTTTAACAACAATAATAAAAAAAAAAAGTCACGCATAATAGTCATAGTCATAGTCACGCACGCGACATTTGCTGGATATTGACTTTAATTTTTGTAATTTGTATTATAGAATTTCTAACGAATTTAGTGTACTTATTAAGAATGGGCTCAAAGGAAAGACTACATAAAAAATCTTTCCCTCTTATTACTTAAGATACAATCTGATCATATACAATGATCTATATTTTCTATTAAATTTATTTTAACCCTCTAAAAAAGAAAACATTCTTTCTACTTCAAAAAGGTCTGTATACAAATGTATTTATTTATACACAGAATAAAATACAGCTCGAATCTTACATAATCTTGAATATAAGTTATCGCTTTGGACGCTTCCAAGTCCTATGAAAGCGACCGTAATAGGCATCATTGTGTCTCTATCCATATTTGAACGATTGCGTAATTTACCGGTGACTATATTCAATAAGTGTAGGCAATTAGCTATAACATGACCTCCATGCAGTACAGTGGATTCATACTCACGTTTTCAAGTAAAAGAGGTCAAAGGTTCGAATGAATCAACAGATAAATATATTTTAAAGTTGACGTGGTCATTTTTTATACGAATAATTACTAACAGTATACCCGTGGTTATGGTTGAAACACTGCAGAAATATAGAGAATTCAATAAAAATAAAATGTGGTAAGATCCCGTGATTTATTCATTATACGTACAGATAAGTATTCAGAATCGAGCCTGCACTTATTGAAAGAAGAACACTGAAAAAGTTAAAACTACCCACGCACCAATCCATCGACCTACAATAACAAATATATAAGCGATAAATATACCTTTGCTTATCTTTTTTTTTTATTAATTTCAACAGAACAAAACATAATTGTACATACAATGGTACCAAAATTGAACCTTTTCGCGCCATTGGATCACAATGAGCGTATCTAATCAAGGTATATCAGAAAACCTCTTCAAAGTACCGACAATATAATAACTACCTATATTTTTTATTTATATAGTTGGTACATATTACAAGATGAATGTTCAGTATTCCTTATCTTAATAATATTATAAACTCGAAAGTTTGTGAATATGGATCTTTGATACTCTTTCACGCAAAAACTTATATGATACTTGGACTTGTAGCACTGCGACCTACATAGATCTATTGTGGTCGTCCTTTTTCAGAGTTCGCTACCTAGACCCGTCAGGGACAAGAATTGGAGGATATTCTTAGGAGCGATGGTTTTTATCTCCTCGGAATAGTGTAAACTTTCCAAAGGAGATATTACGTTCATGCATGAGTGGGCTACAACCACATAGGATGTATAGTGGCGTTTCCTCTTCATATTGGCAAATAAAACATTAGTATTGTAATTTTACTGACCTTCAAACAGGCTTACAAAGCGAGCTAAATGGTAGCAGTAACTTTGTATAAAGTCTACCAAGATACAGAGGTAAGTATAGAAAGGTCCGCTTGAAAACCAGCGCCGCACAGGAGCATCCTGTCAGCCTATGCTGAACCGAGTCCTTTTGCTTTTAATTAAGTATTCTCTAAATGTACTTCTTTTATATACTTTGATTGGCAGCAATAATTTATTCTTGTTCTAATTCTTAGTCTATAAATCTACATAAATACTTAACACTTTCAGAAAAAGAAATACACTATATAAAACTTACTCTGACACTACTAATGTTTTGTTAGTTATTATTTTGACATTGGGAATGGTAAACACGCTGACTGCCCATCTGATGGTGGCCAATAAATAATAACTGTAGGCAATTAACACAACGCCCTCTAGTCCCGTGGTAAACAGAGCTTGTGTTATGGGTACTAGATAACTGATATAAATACTTAGTTTTTTTTAAATGCGAAGAATCGAACCCGCGACCATCGGTAGTAAAGAGTTGTGCTACACCGCTAGACCATCGAGACCGTCAATTAGATAAGTGGCAACAGTATGACTCTTACCAGACAAAACTAGGCTAGGTTAGACGGTTGAAAGAAGCGCAAATGTATCTAGACATTAAAAGTGCCTATTAAATATATTTAATTTTAACTCTCTAACCTTATAAATCGTGGGAACATTATCCACCATTACTTTTATCTAAGTAAATAGGAATATCTTTAAACCATTTATACCAGATCCATAATCTCACGCGTATTGTGAAAAAAACGCACAAACAGTCGCACACGCGACCCTGAGTCACCTGAACCCATTGTTGGATCACGAGTGACTATAATTATCTGCCTTTCATAATAATTGTTATATAACTAACGTAAAATCACGCAATATCGAGCTCTTATTATAATGGAGTACCTGCTACTTACCAGCGTGAGGTATTATCGTAAAACAAATATAAATTACAATAAATAAATCTATGTTAATGTTATAAAGAAAGATATTAAAAAATAAAGTAACTAAAAATGTTTTGATTTTTCATTTTTAAGTTTATAATCTTACTGATATTATAAATACGAATGTTTGTGAGTATGGATGGATAATTGTTACTCTTTCACAAAAACACTGCTGAACGGTTTTTAAAATAACTTTACTGTAACATAATTTATACATCAGAATGACATATAGGCTATAATTTAAAAAGATATGTAAATTGGGTGATATATAATGTGTGTGGTGGGTGGGTGGGTGATGATTGTGTGTGCTGCAGACAAAGTGGCGAGGGTCAGCTAGTTAATAATATAAAAATAGTAGCTGTTCCGGCAAACATTGTTTTGCCATATAAATTAATAACGCTATAAAAACATAGGGGTTTATGTTAAAAGGGTGGAAATATAGAGAAAATAAATTATTGTCGAAAAAATAAAATAAATAAATTTAGGGGTGCATATCCCTTACCACTTAGGGGTATGAGAAATAGATGTTAGCCGATTCTTACCTACTGAATATACATATAAAATTTCATGAAAATCGGTCAGCCGTTTCAGAGAAGTATGGTAACTAACATTGAGACACGAGAATTTTATACTCGTATATAAGATACTATTTTAAAAATTAGTTCGTCTGTATTATCCGCCAGTACCGAAGACTGTTGACCGTAGGTAGTAGTCATATTGTCAGTTTCTAGGATCCTTCTACTCAACCCACCCTCGGTACTGCAGCTAATCTTTATAATGCCTTCACCTTGGAGAGGAAAGGGGTTGTTAGTTGTTAGTAATGTGGACATGTTACATCCCCATTAGCAAATGTAACATGTCAGGTTGACCTCCACACAGATCCCCGGATACCATCGTAATAACTTCCTGGTGAATCCTTCACGATTGCTTAACTGACTTGACCTCATGTTCATGTTATTATCCTCCACTGGTGCCCCGCCAGCGTAAACTGTTACTGCAGATGGGTGCATCATTCCATTATTATCTTAAAAAAATATATTTGATGAATGATTTCTGATGATAATAACCATAGCCAATTCTTCTTTTAGCTCATAAGACAAATGCATTACCAATTTACTCGCTTCCAAATCAATTTGTCTCGCATAGAAGTATTTATAGTCGATACCTAGGCATAGATGAATCTTTCATTTACAGTAATTACGGGTACAAATAATTTTAATATTATTTTTCATTTTCATTACATGATTTATATAAACCTAACGAAATTTACTACTTAATTAAGTGATATTAAAATATATTTTTAGCGTTTCAATACATTTACGAAGTAAGTACCTACAACAGGTTTTTAAATATATAATATATATATATATATCTGATTATATTAATGAGATATTTCTAAACCGAGTATATACGAGAAGTATATAACTAATAATAACAATAATAACCCATAATTAAATTCACACAGTGCCATCTAGTCCCAAACTAAGCAAAATTATATTTTTATTAAGAGTTAAGGTCAAGTAAAAAAATATTTAAATATATTTTGCTCTGTAAATGTACATATTATACATATACCTACTATACATAGTAAACTGATGCAAACAATCATACTCATGAATACAATTGTTAGATCCGAGGAATCTAACATCAGACCACAGAGACCATCAATCCATATAGATATTCGTAGTGTTTAGCTTCAAAACACCATATGTTTTACAAAAAATTACAATCATTTTATACAAAACCACATGTAATGCAGAGCTTATTTATATCTTTAAAGAATATTAATAAATTGTGTAATTCTCTTATATTACTTACTAGCTACTCGCCTTCGCACGGGTGTACATGTATTACATATATAAACCTTCTTCTTGAATCACTCTATCTATTTAAAAAAACCGATTCACAGTCCGTTGCTTATCTTTAAAGATTTAAGCATGCGTGTAGGGACAGTTAGCGACAGCGACTTTGTTTTATACTATGTAGGTAATGATATACCTAATATTGAAATGTTTTGTTGTGCAAAAATGGCCGTAATCATAGAATACAAGTATTGTCGTCGTAACTTCATATCAGTATGGTATCCTAGTTCCGATTTTCGGCCGACCCAATTTAGGGAACAAGCTTTTCTAAATTGGATTTGCACGTTGCGCTGTGTGTTGATATTTCTCATTATTAAATTTATTTACAAGACAATATATATAATTCTTGCAAATATGAACAAAATTATTACAATTATGATGAATTAAATATAATATTCTTGTAATTATTATGGAAATTCATTATATATTATTAATTAAGTCTTGGATTGCTCACACAAATGAGCTATAAAGGAAGGCGCGTTTTTGGTGAAAATCTAGTTTTTCAGTTATATATATCTAAAACAAGCTTATTAACACAACATCTGACCAGAGTGAAAACTTGACATTAGTTTACTTATTCTATAGCCAAAATTACATCGAGTTATTTTAAAATTACATCAGTTATTGTAGAAAAATGTCATAGTTTGTTAGTAGTAGTTTTGTATGGAGAGTTTTTTCGGACTACTCTAATGCTGTTAGGCGCAGCTGGCAGCTTTACAGTTTCAACGGACGATAGAGGGTGAATGCACTCCAAATCTGCGCAAGGACTTATGATCCATAATTCATTGCGGAAGGAGAATTCTCGTCTAATGAATACGACTTCAGTCTGAGGGCTCCGCGAGGGGTTCGAAATTCGACTTAGCCGTCGTAATTTCAATCCCCGTTTGAATTGGACGGGGGATCGATGAGCCCAATGAGGCTCCCTAAAATATGGCCGAACGCAGTGATGGCTGGCTCATCAGTCATACTCGTGAACCAGTGCTGCTTGTGACTGATCTGCTCTAATCACTACGTCTGATTTACTCTTATATAGTTCTCAACCAATTGGTTGTATATTTAATATTTTCTCTATTTGAGTATTTAATTGAATTAGTGCTAGTTGGTAGTTTGTATTCACACATTTATACTTAAAAATGTAACAACATTATTGAAAAGAGCAACACTCAATATTCTTGCTCATTCTTCTTAGGAAGAGATAGCTTTCCGAATGAGCGGTAGATTGAAAAAAAATGTGATGACTATTCAAAAGTGCTTAAATGTAAGTTTATTTGAATAAATGATTATCTATTGTATTTTATAGTTAAAACCCGTTTAACTATATTAATATCTAATATTATATGGTTACATCTACTTACATGCCTAATTAATGTGTATACATATTTATCTACAGATGTCACCTCTCTCGCTATTCCTTCTAATGTTAAGTATAATAATTACAACATACACGGTTGAAGCACGATCGACTGAAATGCTTCGAACAAACTGCAATTTACGACGAAATAACAACAAGGAAGGGTGCCTGAAAATCATGTGGGACGAATATTATAAGAATTATCCATATCATTGGTATTATCCATATTATTATTGGTATTATCCAAGTTATTATATCTATGGATGATTTGTGTAATTTTGGTATTACGATTAATAAATTCAATATATCTACAAATTATAAAATTAATCTTTAAATGAACCTTAATTCGGTTTTGAGACATCTTTTCATATTTCATATTATTCACAAATGTAACTAACCTCGTTACACAATAGCACATCAATAATACCTAATTACATTTTTTAAAGATAATTATGTCACATTTACAATTTTAACTATTAAAAAATAATAAATTATATTAGGTATATACATATCTATAAAATAAATTAAAAGTCACTTAATTGAAAATGTCATAATTTTACATTGTATTTTAGATATTCAGTCACATTGTAAAAAGGGTGTTGCTCGAAATATGATTTTATTTTGTTCTTAAATTCTATTGATGTACACTAGAAAATGAAGTCAAAAGCTTACTATTACCACAGATAAGATAGGTAATATCTATTACCCATATTCTTATGTTATATGAGACATTATTGCGTAAATAAAAAATACTAGTTATCCTGTTATATGATAACTAGCTGTCCCGACAAACGTTGTTTTGCATGAGGATGAGCATGAGGTCAGGTCAGTTAGCCCATCGTGACAAATTCACCAATAATTTATCACGATGGTTTCCAGGGGGAACCGCGTGGAGGTCAACCTGACATGGTAAATTGCTAGCAATAAAATCATTAATCCACATTACTGAGAATCCCCCTTCTCCCCCAGACGTTTATGTTCAAGTGTGTGACTAGGCTACGATTATAAAATAATGGTATCATATGAGATGGATGGACTGTGTGAAAGATGATATGGTAAGAAAGGAGGTAAATAACGCGATGACTGCGAACAGGGATGAATGGAAGAGAAAAACATATTACGCCGACTCCAAATAAATGGGATAAGAAGGAGATGATAATGATGATATGCTTTTATGAATTATGTGTACCAAAGAAGAAGCGGCAACTGAGTTTTTATAGAATACTAAACGTACGCAATAGACGATAACATTTCTAACATTTAATATCCACAAAAAATGAGCTTATTATCTTACAATTGACAATAGATAGTCGTACAATTTCTCCACGTAATATTTCCTTATGACTATATGTCTTAGAGTACCGCAATATTGTTTACTGTTGAGTGTATTGATTTATTGAGAGAAAATTCAGTGCTATGAAATTATCATTATTATTATATGATTATAGTTTAATAAAAAGATTTGAAAACATAAAACGACAGAAGATAATAATTATTTAATTTAAAAAATTCTTAAATAATTATAGACTGTAAAGACTTCAAAATTGTTAGTTGATAAAAATATTATATACTAGCTGACCCGCGTGACTTGGTCTGCATCACACTTATTATTATACTAGCTACTTGCCCCGGCTTCGTACGGGTGTGCATGTAGTATACATATAAACCTTCCTCTTGAATCACTCTATTAAAAAACCGCTTCAAAATCCGTTATGTACTTTTAAAGATTTAAGCATAGGGACTGTGATCAGCGACAACCACTCTCATATATTTACTTGTTATATACTATGTAATGATGATATCCCCCAATTTACATAATACCTTTTTAAATTATAGCCTCTGTCATTATGATGTATAAGTTATGTTACGGTAAAGTTTCATCAAAATCCGTTCAGTAGTTTTTGCGTGAAATAGTCAAACATCCATCCATACAAACTTTCGCGTTTATAATATTAGTAAAATAAATGATAGACCTTAAGCACTATAACTTTAAGGTTAATTTTAATTATTATTTATGAAATTAATTGTAACAGGTTGTCTCTGAACCCTAGGAACAACTTTAACTAGGCTTCACAATACAACTATCATAACTATTTTAGAAGTTTTCAGCCGAGATAAATTCATTGACGAAATTAGGTCCTGGCTCGGGTCTATTAAAAACTCGACACGGTGATTAATTACAGGAGTAACTGTAATTTTATACCTGATAGACATTGTATAAATTAATCGTAGGACTTATAATAAAAAACAGGAATGAAAAATAATTATGTAATTTATACATATTAACAAAAATACGCTCTGCATTAGAATTTCGTCATGTTCATAAGAACTTCACACCACCAATTATATTGACGGGCCTCCCTTTGTACTTCTTAGAGATGTCACTTTCAATCTGCAAAGAATGTATACAATCTGTATAAATAAAAACAAAATTTTTTACTACATGCATACAAATATAATAATACCACATTTTTTAAAAATTTTGTCTCTCTTTCTGTCTGTTTGTTCCGGCTAATTTCTGAAATGGCTAGACCGATTATGACGAGACTTTTTTTGGCAGGTAGCAGATGTAATAAGGAGTAAGTTAGGCTACTTTATTTTAGAAAAATAAAGTTAAATTCCACGCGGACAAAGTCGCGGGAACAGCTAGTATAAAATATAAATTGTGTGTGTGGTCACCTCACTGGTGACGTGCTGTAACTGTAAATAACCCTGGACAATAAACACAGCGCCGTCTAGCCCACTGTAAGCAGGACTTATGTTATGGGTACTAGACAACTGATATAAATACTATTTTTTTTGTAAATACATACATAATAAACATAGAAAACACCCAGACCGATACAAACAGCCATGCTCATGTTAGCGCAGTGCGAGGAATCGAACCCGCGACCATCGAAAGTAAAACGGTGTGCTAAGTTAGACCACTGAGGCCGTCGTAAATAATTAAAGAACAATTACTTGAGCCTGTAACTCCTTAGTGCGTTGTATGATGCGCGCGAGTACGGGCCGCAGTTGGGCACCTCGGGCATTTGCTGCGGTCGCCTGCTCGGCCGCGCGGGCCGCAAGCTTCGACAGTTTGTCGCCAAGGGTCAACTTCTGCTTGAGCTGAGCTGTTAGCACGTCCACGTATCTGTCAAATAAAAGTAACTTATCACTACGACTAATTTAATCTTATTGTGTTTTTATATTTGAGCCTAAATAAATTAATGCTGGTTGGTAGTTTGTATTCACACGTTTCGACTTGTAAAATGTGAACTTACAAGGATTGTTTAAAAGAGCAACACACAAATTTCTTGCTTATTCTTCTTGTGAGGAGATAGCTTTCCGAATAAGCGGTAGATTTAAAAAAATTGTTGTGTATTCAAAAGTGCTTAAATTAAGTTTATTTGAATAAATGATTTTCTATTCTATTCTATTACTTAGTCAATAACCGGCGCAGATGAATCGCGGACGCAGCTATAATAATATAAATAGCTCCATCAATAGTACGACGACTCTAATATATTTACTGGCCATTCTAGATTACTAAGGTATCATCCCTCCCACTTCTATTCTATCTTATTTGTTTAAAAGACCAACACGCAATTCTTCTTATGATGAGTCTGCGTTCTGAATGAATAGTAGAATAAGAAATGTGTCCATTTCTAATGCTATATCAAGTTAAATTATTTGAATAAAGATTATTTATAAATTCGTAATTTAAAAGATATAAGTGAACAGACAGCGGCGAGGATTTTGTTTTAAACTATATAATAATAATAATAGTAATAAATAAATAACCCTGGATAATTAACACAACGCCGTCTAGTCCCACGGTAAGCAGATCTTGTGTTGTTATGGGTACTAGACAATTGATACAAACACATACATATTTTTTTGTAAATACATACATAATACACATAGAAAACATCCAAACCGATGCAAACAATCATACTCATGAATACAAATGTTCGCAACGAGCGAATCGAACCTACGACCGTCGGAAATAAAGCGGCGTGCTAAATCGCTACAGGCCGATCGATGCCGTCGATGTACTGTACAATTAGGTGTACCTGGGCGAGTGTTTAACATTGTGCAAGTGGTTTATCTCCGGCGCTGTGAGTCTGCTGGCCGCCACCTGCACCGCGTCCAGCATCGCCGTGAGTGCGGCTGTACTCTCCGTCGGCAGCTGATCCATCAACGAGAACCCGAGCCCGTCGCTCGACGTGTTCGTCTCATACAGACGCATCTTCAGGAACGATTCCAACTGAAACATTCCAGTCCACTATTACCGTGTCGAAATCCATAATAAATGCAAAATAAAAATTATTATTATTATTATTATAAATCGATTCAGTCATTTTTGCCTAAACGAGTAACTAACATCCATCCACCTACACTCGCAAACTCCCGCGTTTATAATATTAGTAAGCTACTGTTTTTTAAATCAGATTTTTTTGTGGGATTTATAGATATTTGAGTTGAAATTGACAAAAATTTAGTCCAGAGTGATAACCTATGTGTACAAGATAATCTATGTATGTATATTAGAATATATGATAAATATATGTGTATTAGAAAATCGTTAAAAACCTATGTACTTTGTAATCATTGTTTCGGTTGTTGAGTGCAGATTAGGCAGTGAAGTTATAGAATAAGAGGCAGAACATTTTAGTGCCCTGGAATGTCTACACATGAGTGGCAACGCCAGTGTCACATAAATATAAAAGTGATGAACTTACCTCAACTAGTTGATCTATGAACTGGTTCCTAGTGGTGGGGTTGTCGAGTAGTGTGAGTGCGTCCTTCCCCCTCGCCACTCCCCCTCCCATCCCCTGCTCCTCTACCACGATGCCGGATTCCTCCAGCGACACTTCAGCTATACTCGATGATATATCCTAGCAAGTTAAATGTTGTATTAATTTTATGGTAATGAAATTATAGGATATGATGACATGATAAGACCTGTCTCATGTGAATGGTTTTTTTAATGCATGATAATGGAATGGTGCACCAGCCTGCGCGAACGGTACGCTGGCGGGGCACCAGTGGAGGATGATAAAATGAGCATAAAGTCAGGATAGCCCATATTGGAAATTGTCAATTTACCAGAGCAAACCACGTGGAGGTCAACTTGTGATGATACATTGGTAACAGTGGGGTTTTTAGTCCACACTACTAACGATCTATTTGCCCCTTCTTTATAATATTAGTATAGATGTAGCAAAATATGATTTTAAATTAAAAAGTTATAATGTACTAGGTAACAATACATAATATATATTATAATTATTATAAAGTTTCAACCTATGAAGAAAATAAAGTGCAGAACTAACTGCCTTAAATAGGGCATTTGTCACACAATATCACATCCTATCGAATCGAATCCTTTAATGTGTGAGTGCTAGTAATAAATAAAAAATATTTAGTATTTAAACAATAATAGCAACTCACAATGTTATGAAGAAATAAACTTCGGGACTAACTTAAATTTCCTTGTCACATAATGTCACATCCCATCGAACACACCTTAATGTGTGTGCTAATGATAAAAAAGATAGTAATAAATAAAAATATTGAGTACATAAACAATAATAGCAACTCACAACACTGTCGGCCGGCCCAACGTCGATATTACCCCAGTCGATCTCCACCGCCGCATCGCCCTCACCAAAGTCTATAGCTGCAGCTGTGTCTATGGAACCGAAGTCAATTGCATTATCGCCAAAATCGATCTGCAAATGTAATTCAAATTTATATTAGCACTTTTTAATAGTCATTGAGACGAACTTCTTCATCATACTAGTCATACTCGACTCATCCTAATAATGAATGGAATAAATAAATTTTATTATTGTATGTTGTATTATTACGAGTATAATTTGTTATTATTATTCTTAGTTTTTCATAGATTCGCAGAGCGTGTGCCGGTCCCATCGGAAGCTCCGAGCAGTTTTGGAGACCCGGGTATTTAAGGCGCCGTTTTGCCGACGTACCTCAACACTATAACACTTTCACCACTCGTCTTTCTCTCCCTGCTCAACCTCAATTCTGGTAGGAACCTGCTAGTGCAGCTTTAGACACGTTCCAATATAGAACCCACTGCAGTTCTAGACAGATTTGTGACCCGGTTGTAGGTTTAATTGACCTGTTGCCGTCGTACGGCAACACTCAACGTCACCAATCGTAATTCTCTACCTGCCCAGTCAAATCTGGTAGCAGGCAGATAGTGCAGCTTCAGATACACGTTCTACTATAGAACCTACTGCAATTCAAGACAGGTCAAGATTTTTTAGAAGACTAGAGAGATTTCGCTGGTACACCTAACTCTCGACCGCATATAAATTAATCACAAAAACATTTCTCTTTAATCGTATTACGAACGAACAACGTTCGTAATTTATTTGTATTATTGCATGATCTTTAGTTATAATTGTTTTAATGGTAAAGTAAGCTCTACCTACCTAGTCTAGTACCCATAATACAAGCTTTCCTTTGCTTGGGTCTACGTACAAAGACCTGTGAAGGTAGACGACTTTGTCTGCCCACAAAATAAAATATTTCAATTATCATCTACCTGCTGCTCTGATGTTTGAAACACTAGCGAAATGTTGGTAACTCGATAAAAATAAATAAAACGTGGTAAAATCCCAAGATTTTTCCTCATTATACATATCAAGTAATATTGTACTTGTAATTAATAATTACCTGGTCACCAGCTGCAGCTTCCTCATCATCCAACTCTATATGTATGGGATCAGGCTCAACACTTAACGGCGGCTCCCCGTAGCTCCACTCGTAAACTGTGGTGTTGCCATGTTCCACCACATACTGTAGTAGCAACACCACCTCTGTTGCTTTATCACCGAGTACATACTTTGTAAATGCTGAATATAATTGTATACCTGGTAGTAGAGGCTTGAGGGATTGACCAATCTGTAAATAAAACAAGTATAGCTCTTATATTCGGGTAGGTGTCTACGGGTTGCTGTAGATGATGCTGGAGGTCTCGAGATCTGGGGCGTCGAGGTCGCAGCAATGGCCAGTCGGAGACCCCTCCTTAACGCTATCACGGGCGACTTCAAAGACGCATTATCATTAGTACTATACATTTTATAGGAATGCAGTCCCTCATTAAGGATACCTCCTTTTTTTTCTGACTACTCTAATGCTGTTGGCCGCAGCTGGCCTTTACAGCTTCACCGGACGTTAGGGGGCGAGTGCAGATGGCACTCCAAACGCGCAAAAGGACTTAGGGAGCGGCTGAAGGCCAACTCCTGCCTGACAGATACGACTTAAGTCTGAGGGCACCACTAGGTTCGAACCTCGGCTCAGGCCGTCGTAATATCGCCCCTTTTGAAATGGATGGGGGACCGATCGGAGAGGCGCCCGGGGGCGCCGGTGTGTAGCGCCCGGGCGCGCGCAAGTCCATTAAGGAATTAGGGCTACACAGTAGGGGATTGTTAAAAGTGAGAATAGCAGACCCTTTGCTAGCAATGTAATAAGAAACCGTTGGATAGGATAAATTCGTGGTGAATTTGCCATGATGGTCCAACTGACTGCTTATTTTATCATCCACTGACAGGACAGACTCTCCTTTGCTAATGATTTATAGTGCACTTGCACTATATCATTAACAACCATTAAAAATAGAGCGAAGGGATTGTTAGTAACATGGACTAATTAATAACTGCATTGCTAGCAATATATCATGTTAGAGGTTTACTTCCATGCAGTTCCCCCTGAAAATTTGCTAAGATAAACTGATCTGACTTCATGCTCATTTTATCATCCTCCACTGGTCTCTCGCTAATGTAAATCATTAGCGAAGGTGGGTGCACCATTCCATTCATCATCATCCATCATCATCATCCATAAGAAAAAAAGCATTAAAATATATATGTATATGTATAACACCTTATCATATAGTTCAGGCAGCTCCTGCAGTCGCTCCACCAGCTCTCTCTTGATCCTGTTACCCTTTATCCCCAGCTGTTTGCATAAAGTTAAAAACTCTGATTTACTGGATGCTTCATTCTTCAGATAATCTGTATGCTTTTTCTCACATTCCTGGAAAGCATGTAATAACACATATAAATGATCAAGAAACTTTATATAAAGCACAAAATATTATTTTATTTATAAACTGACTAGCTGTCTCAGCAAATATTGTTTTGCCTTAAAATAAAAAAAAAAATAGGGGTGGACTACCCCTAACATTTAGGGGGATGAAAAATAGATGTTGGCCGATTCTCAGACCTACTCAATACGCTCACAAAATTTCATAAGAATCGGTCAAGCCATTTCAGAAGAGTATGGGAACGAAAACTGTGACACGAGAATTTTATATATAAGATAAGACATGTCTTATATTGCCCATGCTTGCCCATGCTTATTATTTCTATATTGCCCATGGGCAATATAGAAATAATAAGAGATTCCAAATCTATAGAAATATAAAAACATATATATTATAATTACATTAAAAATATATGGTTAATTTATATTTAAGGAGTAACTGAGAGTACTTTTAATTTAAACATTCTATTTTATAAAATATCAAAATATATCTAAATATCATTGTGTGGATGAAATTGCTGGTAATAGCTAGGTTATGATATAATTTAATATATACAGACTGTTTTTCATTTATTGCTTGTTAACTTGTGTAAATAAAATTATTTTTTCTAGTACTTAACTCAACAAATGAATGATTTAATAAAAAATCTTTTTTTTTTCTCTTTCTATCTGCCATCAGCCTTATAATCAGATTTATTGATATTTTAATTATTTTGAAAAATCATTCAATTTTTTATGTTGTCAATTTAGAACTGATAAAAAAAATAGGTTTTTACATATTAGATAGATTAGATAATAAAAAGTGAAAACAGATTCTCACAACATCTGCTAAAATCTTGTTAAACCAATTGCAAGATATGGATGAAAAATATATATATAAAAGAAATTTGAAGATGGAGTTTTATTTCAAACTTCACAATACTCACAACTTGCATCTGTTCCTCTTTTGCTATCTGTTTTTTTAATCCGGGTATCTCATAACTGATGTTCCTGACTAACATCTGGGCAGCTTCTGCCAAGTATAAATTTTCTCTATCATAACTCTTGAGTACATCTTGCCAATCCTTCATTCGCTGTGAACCATACCTCCCAAATAGATTCTTAGTGTCTGCCTCAGTTTCTTTCAAAATCTCTATTATTTTCTGACAATGGAAATAATTAATATAGCTGCCTAAAACAGAAAATTACATTCAAATTAATTTAAAAAATGAATAGGTGTCTATACTTTTTTTATTTAACATTCAGCAAGATTTACTGAACAGGAACAAACTATTATTTTTTTAAATAAACCTATAGAAAGTTGATATGTAGTTGTCATAATTTTTTTATTTTATTATGTAATAAACTGAATTAAAGGGAGTCCCGACTATTTATTTGAGACTGACATTTCAATAAATTCTATTGGTCTATATGGTTTTTGTATAGCATATTCCATCCTATTTCATTAACAAGTTATTGATATCAAAGAGCATAATTTCACAAATATTATTTTAAGCAATATATTTTAGCAAGCAACTCCATATTAATGACTAAGGAAACCTGTCAATAATGCTGCAATATCGTCATGCGCTGGCATATCCTGGATGGCATTATTTATTTTCTCCCTTACAGGTATGATGTTCTTCTGCCATTCTTTGCTCACGTGTCGTCTGCTCACAAGCCAGTCTTGAAGCTTTCCAATATTTATGTCAATTGGAATATTACTTTCCTGAGAAGCAAAGAAGTAAACATATGAATGAATGGTTATTACAGTAATAATTATTAAGATGTTGGAAATTATTATGAGCAAGTTTAATACATACGTCCATTTTATAGTATAGTTAAATATAGTTTTAGTTAATAATCATACTTTATTACACAAATTAATGTTATTATCGTCTTTGAGACGAAAAAGAAAACAAATAGTGAAAATGTCAACGCAAACAACTACTTTCGTTTTCATGCAACCTGACGTGGTGACGCGTCAACGTGATAGTGACATCCGAGACGTTTGTATGACATTGACACTTTATATATTTTTTTTCTAAAATATTATTAAGTAAATTGAGCATATATTCACCACATCAATTAATAAATACTTCAATAATTTCATCAATCACATTTAAGTTATTTTCATTATTTTTACATCACTATTTTCATTTTACCATAATTAGATACCTATGTATGTGGATGGGTATATGAATAAATAGTTCACGAGAGTTTAAAAAGTTGAATTTGTAGTTGGAGTTTAAAGTAATACGCCTGCTAAACTGTGTAGTCGTATACTCATCCATACATAATAGCAATACAAAATAAAAAATAAAGTTATGTGTACGTCACAAAAATACAGAATAGTCAAAGGCTCTGCTTATTGTTTCACCTACAATACCATATAAGTTTAATTACTAGGTTGCTAAAAAATTGAATCGCATATAAGCTGACGATCCTCTCTACTATTCCTTATGTACATGGAAGGTATCATGCATCCGTATCAGTAAATTCAATGTCACATCTTAGATATTTATTTAAACTTTATTGACCAATAAATCATGGTTCAACAGGCGGACTTAATGCTATAGGCATTCTCTACCAGTCAGTACTCAGAAAGTGCATTCTTGATGGTAGCTTAACATTGAAAAACTTCACAGACACATATCTCACATTTAAACCATACAGCTTACATAGCAAACTGCATGGCAGTAGCAATAGTACACTTAAATACCCAAGCGGGTACACCTACACCACGGTACTACTACACCATTATTACAAATAATGGTGTAGGTAAACAAAAAATTTATATCTTGCAATATACGAATAGGTGTTATGTTCTACATTACCCAATGATCCCATTGAGAAATCGTTGACCCAAAATCATTCATACGCAGAGTATCATGTATCAAAAGACTGGTCGTTACGCTATGTGATGACAGCATCGGTGGTGAGTAAACAGGCAGTAGGTTTGAAAAATGTGTAATTACATTCTTATTTTGGCTGCCCTTATTCCTGTAGTACAAAACTTTACTCCAGTATTAGCTGTGGACTAATAACCACATTGCTAGCAACTATGTCAGGTTGACCTTCACGTGGTTCCCTCTGGAAACCATCGTGATAAATTCATGATGAATTTACTACATAGCCTATTGTGGTAAATTCATCATGAATTTACCACACTTCATTTATCTTCTACTGACTTCATATTCATCTTATCCTCCTCCATTGGTGCCCCACTTGTGCTAATGCACACCAATGGAGTTTTTTTTTCTTATCTAAAAATAACTTCTATTGTATTATTATATCTTTTTTGAGAATATTCGTTACTATTTCGGAAATAGTAACCGTTTATTTTGCAACATCACACATAAACTCTATTATGTAAATTTATTGAATATTGCTGTGTATCTGTAGGTACCGATAACAATATTATCAAACTTATTAGTTAGGTATGTTCCAAGCCAATGAATCGAAACGAAGTGCCTTATCTTTTAGCTGTCTCAGTCTGTATTCTGACGAATATATCAATAAACGTGTAGTGCATAACGTAGATACTTGTTGGTACTTGCGATAATGTTAAGCTCAAAATTCCTTTGTCATTTGTTTATTTCATTGTGAAATATATTAAAATGTAATCAAGTTCAAGCCATTTTGATAATAAACGCAGTCTGTTTAATGATATAAACATAACTTGCTTAATTAATATATAGGCACTCCAATGGATATGAAGATAGAGAGGTAAACTACAAAATAATATAATGAGCACACCTATATTATGTATGATGCATATTAACATAACAACGTCATATTTCATCACAAGAAAATTTCGCCTATTACACGCTTTCTGTCCAGTTGGTTTAATATACAATTTTATTTTAAACTAGCTGTCGTCCCCGCGACTTCGTTCTCGTGGAATATAACTTTATTGTTCTAAAATAAAAGTAACCTAAGTTACTCCTTATTACATCTGCTACATGCCAAAAAAGTCACATCAAAATCGGTCCAGCAATTTCAGAGATTAGCCGTATCAAACAGACCGACATACAAAAATTGATAAAAATTTTATTTTGTCTTATGTACTGTATTTATGTATATTCATATGCATGTAGTAAAAAAGGGTGATTTCAATATTACAAACACACTCCAATTTTATTTATATGTATAGATTTTTCTGTAAAGGTACATTCTTATATTTATTTAATATCTTAAGGAAGAATAATAGGTAAATAGGAATACACCTTGGTAACGAAATAAAGATAATCTTGGTAATTAAATAATTAAATAATATCTTTATATATTTATTTCAGAACATCTCAAATGTGTATTGTGTATTTTCTAAAAGACGACAAAAACAGCAGCTTCACTGTAATAGTAGTTTCTATGTCATTGGCAACATTAATTAAGAAAAAAACAATCTTAAAAGTCCAATATCAAAACAAAAACAGCTGTGTTTTTTATATTATAAATATATTTATTTATATAAAATACTTTATAAAACTTTGTGAATTATCTGACCTAATACAATTGACAATGTAATATTTGTTTACAAGAAGTAATTTAAATCGTATCTAATGTTAGTAAGTGCTTTATTTAAAATTGTGTTGTCTAATAAAGTTATAAATACTATAAATATTTGTATTACCTTTTTCTGGATATTTGAATAATAATAAAATTAGGGCAGATGAATAAACGAAATAAGAAAAGTTGGTAACGCGCCAAATTAAAATAAATTTGCATTTAAAATTATTTACTTTCCCCAAGTAAACATCTATGTACCTTATATCTTGGTTTCATTTCTCGTGTACCGAAGCATAAACTCACAGTAAAGAACGACGTTAGTGGGAAAATTTAAGAGCATTCATGTAATATCTATAAAAAAGAATATAACTGATCTTTTTTAATTTATTTATTAAAATTAATATTTACAAAATAAGTACCTAATTGAGATAATTAATGGCACAAACCATTTTTATTTCTATGTAAGTATATATATATTATATCACCATAAATAATGTCATTATAAAAACATCTTCAAACTTGTCTCTTGTCATAATTTGATTTTAATTGTAAATTAATTTTTTATATACCTAGATGTTATACCATATTAACAGTTATTTTTTCCTCTGAGAAATAGTAAGTAAAAGAGCAATACACATGTTTCTTGCTCGTACTTCTTGTGATGAGACTGAATTCCGAACGAGTGGTAGATAAAAAACAAATTGTTATGACTGTTCAAAAGTGCTTAAATTAAGTTTATTTGAATAAATGATATTCTATTCTATTAATATAAAAAAAAACAGAATAAAGTTACAAAAATATTTTTTCTATTTACTAAAGTTCTAAATTCTTTTCCTATGTGCATGTCAGTCAGTGTGTAAGACTCTATCAGAGAAACGCCTAATCCTCAGTCCTCGAGAAAGGCAGCATTTTCAATGTTGGATATATGTGGTAGGTCCATCAGAAGTTTCAGAGTAGAACACAATGAATAATAATCTCAGAATTAATAAGTATTATATTTTAATAGCAGATCACATTAATTCCTATCCTATTTATTACCTTAGAATAATACAAATTTCTCCATTTTATTAAATTTATATTTTAAATATTTAACGTATTGTTTTTTAGTATCCCAAGCACATCAGCCGCTGATGATGAAGTGGTCACAGTGGATGTCACCAGTAATGGACTGCTGGACTCCATTAGTGATATTCCCCAGCCTCTCATACCTCCTGACATAATCATGTAAGTATACTTATGTAGAGGAACGGCTGTTAATTTTTTTTTTTAATATTTTGTTTTTTCTAAAAAGCTTTTTAATAAAAAAACATGTGCATATCCAGGAATAGGGGGAACTGTCATACCATTTTATGAAACAATCTTTAATCTAAAAGAAATGGATGAAGGCCTCAGCCTCGGTAGTTTTTAGCTATTTAGCCACAGTGTTTTTAGTGAGTTGGAGTATCACAGTATCTGCTTGCCTTCCCTAAGAGATATTTCCTCAAACTAAAAAAAACAGGTGCTTGCAACATTCCATTGTCGTGTAATAAAAAAACATAATTTGAATCTTTTGTTATTACAGCAGCTATAAAAAATATTTGTTACTGATTCTCAGGTCAACAGATGGCAGTGCCGATAATGAGGATGACTCCACGAAACTCAATCTCGCTTATGAGAACCTGTATGAAATACCAAGGACCATTGTGGAACGATTTGCTGATTATATTACGTACCTGGATATCAGCCACAACAAAATCACGTAAATTATTTTTTTACATAATCTTCTTATATATAAAATGAAATGACGTCTGAACAGCTGAACCAATTTTAATAATTTTAGTTAAGAAATATTTATAGAACATCAAGGAGAAATTGTATAGAAAATAATAAAAACAACAATTTTATTTATTATTATCCCATACAAACTGTTCGTTCCTGTAAAACAGGAAGCGTTCAGAAATTTATTTTGTAACTAAATTTAAAAAAACATGTTATCATGAATAAAGAACTTCATTTTTTGAACTCGATTGAATATATAAGAATGTAACTAGTGGTCAGCCAGTGGTCGAAATTCGACTACAATTAATTTCACATTCAGTATAGATATATATATTAAAGAAAAACAATGATACTACTAATGACGTCCTCGGTGGTCTAGCGGTTTAGCACACCGCCGTACTACCGACGGTCGCGGATTCGATTCCTAGCACGGCATAAACATTTGTATTCATGAGTATGATTGTTTGTATCGGTCTGGGTATTTTCTATGTATGATATGTATGTATTTACAAAAAAAAACTATGTATTTGTATCAGTTGTCTAGTACCCATAACACAAGCTTTAGCTAGCTTAACTTGGGTCTAGATGGCGCTGTGTGAATTGTCCTGAGATTATTATTATTATTATTATTACTAATCCATTGTCATTTCAGAGGACTAAAGTGTTATGCCTCTTATCCTGTAATTTGACTACCTTATATCACCCTACAACCAAACCAAGACCTACAAAGTAATCTGCAATTAAAACTCACGACGCCTCGATCTAAATCCTAGAAGTAAACCTATGTACTCCAAGTAATGCGTCCTTCAAATACTCCACAGAAATCTGGACGCACTGGTTCACTTCAGACACCTGACCTCGTTGATAGCTGACAACAATCCCGTCACAGAGAATTGCATTCTACCGCCTTTACCAAAGTTGCAGTTGTTATGGTAAGATAACATTTTAGCACCAAAATTAATAGCTGAATCACAGCAGAATTAATTTATTAATGAATGAATAATCTATATAAATAAATATAATTGTTGTGTTTATTTGTAATTTATGCTAAATGCGTATGTGCTGATTTTACTTTAATACATACAAAATAATTTAAAGATATCTGGTTGTCTGTCTGGATCGATTTTGATAGTACTTTCCCTCGCAGATAGCTAATATTATAATGAGTAATTTAGGCTACTTGTATTTTAGAAAAATAAAAGTTGGCTAGTTAATAATAAATGATCTGTTCAACTTAATTACCTCAAGTTATTATTATTCTTTAATAGATTTAAATTATTTTGTTTAATTAGTATAGACTAATACCTGACCACTGTTATTGAGTCCACAACCATATTGCACGATGGGCCTCATCTCAATTTCGGAATTTCGGTCGCCAATAAAGGTCTTAATGTTTCCGGTGGATATGTGGGCCCTCTACTTTAGCATATTATTACAAAACTGAGACTGTTATTAACATTCATACTCACTAATACGAATGTTTGTACCGTGCGATGAATTGAAGCCGCGACCATCGGAAGTAACGCGGTGTGCTAAAACCCTAAACCACCGAGGTCGTCAGATAAAATAATAAACATAAATTTCAGGTTGAACCGGTGTAAAATATCTTCGCTATACCCGTGGGTGGGTAAATTGAAGGAGTCATGTCCGAATCTCAGCCACTTGTGCCTGATGGGCAACCCTGCAGCGCCGAGTTACCTCAACGGGGGTACATTCTACGAGTATCTACAATATAGGTATGTATATATTTTAGGGTTTTTTTAAAAAAAAAAACCCTTTTTCAGAATTAGCTACCTAGACCCGTCAGGGACAAGAATTGAAGGATATTCTTAGGTGCGATGGTTTTTATCTTCTCGGGAAAGAGTGTAAACTTTCCAAAGGAGATTTTTCGTTTATGCTTGAGTGGGCTACAACCACATAAAATGTGTAGTGGCGTTTCCTCTTCAGTTTGGCAAAATCTGCAGATTTTTGTTGTGCATAGGCCTAGGCTTAGTTTGGGGTTGCCAACCCCACATTTAAGAAATCAGGATTTGAAGTTTAAACACAGGATGTAATAATAGAGTTGCAATAGTTAAATTAATATGTAGAGAAAATAGGTGCAATGAAATTCAAGTAATTAATATAATCATATTTTTTTATTCTCTCATCTGCAAAGGAGTCATTTATTGACGACGGCCTAAAAAAACCATCTATATTTATATCAGTTATCTAGTACCCATCACATAAGCTCTGCTTGGACTAGATGGCGCTGTGTGAATTGTTCTGAAGTATTCTCACGTCATCCGTCACTCACCTTATACAGCTCTCTGCCATATACACTTTCTTTAAGACAATTTATTGTTAATCTTATATTCTTTCATTGTACTAATTATTTGTTAAGGGTAGCATCCATAAAATACGTGAGATGTTTAAGGGGAGAAGGGTCGCGGCAAATATCACGCAATTTATTTTTCTGATTGAAACAAAATAATTATACTATTTTGGTCCTTTTAAACCAGATTGTACATGCTTATTACACTTATAACTCTCAGCAATATTGATTACTAGTCTTAACTAGTCGTAAAAAAGCACGAAGCAAGTTTATTTTTTCTTCTTACAATTATAAGGTTAGTTAGGTTAATAGGTTGAATATAATCTCACGACATCTCACCATACAGAAAATTAAAAAAAAACACTATGTCTATTATATTTTTACATTTATTGTTACCGACCCTGAACATATTATTATTTCACAATTCCACAACATACATTTAGTAATTTTATAGTTACAACTATTATTATTATTTATCTGCTTCATTTTCACAACTTTTACATTAAAATGTATCTTCTAAAACAGATTATTCGTGATATCCCAATTCCCATCACTGAACCACCTCGACGACAGGAACGTGACGGATGACCAGCGGCAGGAAGCTCAGAGGCTGTACAAGAGGCCGCTGCTGGAGAGGTTCGTGAACCCTCGCTCCAGCGGGCTCGGCCAGCTCATACATACCTCAGTCACATGGAGCAACGTCCAGAGTAGGCTCAACTCGCTTTTGGGTAAAGAGCCGGAGCGCAACAGAAATCTTTTGATATAAATCTTATCTTAATCTTAATGATAATATTATAAATGCGAAAGTTTGTGAGTATGGATGTTTGTTACTCTTTCACGCAAAAACTATAGAACGGATTTTGGTGAAAGTTTACAGTAATATAGCTTATGCATCAGAATAACATGTAGGCTATATTTTATATTGAAATTAAACTCGGATGAAACCGCGTGCACAGCTAGTACTAAATAATGCTCTCATAAAAGTTTGCCGGAAATATTTGTTGTGTTCACCTATGTGGTCCTAGTATATTTGTCGTCATCTCCATAATATCGGTTTCGACGATTTACGCAGGCGGAGCATCAGTGAAGTATGATAAGGTAAACATGTGGTCAGATCAGTTAGCCAGCCGTGGTAAATTTATCATGGTGGTTTCTAGGGAACTGCGTGGAGGTAAACTTGACATGGTACATGCGTCAGTAATGGCGTCAACAATCCCCTTTCTTCTCTATATTTCTTATTTATAAAGTCAATATATGACAACATATGTTCGGTAAAGGCATTTAATATAAATATTATAAAAACTCGAATGTTTGTGTGTATATATTGATAGATGAATGGACGGATGTTTGTTACTCTTTACATACATTCATACATACAAGTCATTGAATTTACATACAAAATATTGAATGGATTTTGATGAAACATTACAGTAATATAGCTTATACATCAGAATAACACATAGGTCTCTACATTTCACGCAAGTGTAACCGCGAGCACAGCTATTAATAATAATAATAATCTCAATTTACAAATATACTAATTCTAATTATACATTTAGTACTCGCTTTTGAAATAGGTAAACTTGTGCCTCGAATATTATTAGATGTGACACATTATTAAATTAGAACAAATGTAAATTCCAATGTCATAACTTAATTGTATAATTAAAGTTGTAAAGATGATGTTTGGCCAGCGTTAATTTTATTATTTAATAGAAAAGGTTTGTTCTTGATAAACTATTTCGGAAAAGAGAATCAACCGGGGAAATGAAATCTGATTGAAAATTTTCTTCTTTTAATACCTGACGCAAGAAGAGGGATGTTATGTGTGACGTTACGCTAGCTAGCTACGATACCACAGACCGACGTCTGTGGTACCGTAGCTCCTATAGGAATGGACCGATTATAATGAGTTTTTTTTATTGTAATCAATATGGTACTTAGCTATAATTTGTCGATCTGTTCTACACGTCTTATTCTATAGAGTTTTTTGTGTCAGGGGGTTGTTTAAAATTGTACTTTTTTATTTAAGTCTAATATGCACTTTGTATTATGTAAAAGTGTTTAATAAGAATAAAAGACATTTATTTATCATTTTTAATTAATTCAACTGGAGTTGTAATTAAAAGTACTGCTATTATAGGAATATCTCTGATAATATAAGTTAATAATAATATTTTTATTGAGAATAATTTTATATACATTATTTTTACTATGTATAGTAATAAAGCGAGTCAATTATTATATTATTGTACAAATTTTATTGAATAAAAAGAAATATTTTTTACAAATTTATTTCATTTCCTATATACATAATTTTGTGTAAAATTAAGGTACACATTTTTCGTACTTAGTTCTGCCGAAACACATTTATATATTTTTAGTTTTGCCGAATGTGTGTTGACCTTTATTTTTCAAATCTGATATAATTCGAAAAAAATCCTTTATACAGTTAATAAGCCGATTCTTGAATAAAACATCACGCTATTAGTCTTTAGGAGACAAGCACAAATAATAATATTAAGACTACTAATTCGATGAGTTATGACGGCCTGGGTGGTTTCTATGGTCGCGGGTTCGATTCATTCATGAGTATGATTGCTTGTATCTGTCTGAGCGTTTTCAATGTACAATATTTATGTATTTACAATAAAGATTAAGTATTTGTATCAGTTGTCTAGTATACAACACAAACTCTGTTTAGTTTGGGACTAGATGGCGTCCTGAGACTCATTATTATGTATGAAATAAGGACTGTGGCAATTTTTTCAAATAAAAGGGTGACTAAACTTCAAGTGGATCCGCCGTATAGGACTAGTATTTTATGAGTCAAATAACGTGGGTGACCTCCACGAGGTCAAGTCTACATATGGTATGGCGTTGTAGTCGTTACAGCTGTACTTGGGGTTGTACGAGCCCTCCACCTCGAATGCTCGCCGCTGCACGTAGTACACGTGGTCGGTGTTGTCGCATATCAAGCGGGCCATTGACGCCTTTTTAATTTGTTGCAATTGTTCTGTAAAAACAATTCATATATATGTATACGTGAAGCAAAACCTTTGTAACAAAATTGCGCGAACAGACGAGTTTGAAAATTCGCACACTTACACATATAGTAATTATAATGTAAATAATATAAATGACGTAGTGGAGCAACTTGAAATAGTCATGCTCGCTATGAAGTTCAAACTTGTGGCGGCGTGGTGGGTCGGGTCGATGTGCTCCCTTTAATATGGTTAAGTGCAATGATGGCTGGCTCATCCGTCATACTCGTGAACGGGTGCTGCTTATGAGGACTGGTCTGTTCAGGTTGCGAACACTGATTAGATATTTCGTTTTTTTTTTCAATAGCATATGCTGGTGGTCACTATTCTCCCAAGTTTGAATTTAAATGAATCTGGTGTATTATTGTAAATATGTACAAATTTAAAAAAAAATACGAGCCGAGTTTCTTGTCAGTTCTTCTCATCTCGAAATCATTCAGAACTGATGGTAGATTTGACATATCATAAGAGTCTGTAATAGATCTACATGAACTATTTGAATTTGAATTATGAATATTTTGAATTTGAATTTGAATTATTTATTTATTTCTCCTCACAAACATTGTACACATTGGGAACAGTTACATGTAGTTACAGTTACAGTTACATTTAGATAATGCATTGCATATATTTATTATCACAATCAATTGTTGTGAGAAGCTGGTGTCTGAAATAAGTTAAAACCTGTAATACAGATCACATATGTAGAGAAGGACTGCAGGATGCCAATATTTTTTTATAGTAATGCCTAAAAAATACATTACATCAAAAAAAAAATGATTACTCACACTATCAGGTGAAATAAATAAAACGTGGAACGATCCTGTGATTTTTCCTAATGAAGGTCGAATAATTTCTTGAATATATTTACCTGATGTGAAGGAATGAGGCATCTCGGCATTGTCGTAAAAAAATCTATCTCCAATCCTTGTTCTGTAGAACTGTTCCGCCACGATGCACTGGAAGGTGTGACCGAGCATCGAACCGTGGACGCTGCGCTCCATTGCACCACCAACGAATAAGTCCACGTCATCGACATTCTCGTACATTTGCGATAACGCATTTATACGCTAAAAGAAAACAAAGTATCTAAGTAAATATATATATACAACGGACTATATTCTGAAGAATTGTTTGACAGGATGCCTTCAAACCCGCGGAAGGCCAAAGAATAGAAATAATCTTTATTCAAATAAACTTAATATAAGCACTTTTGTATAGTCACATTTTTTTATTCTCCCGCTCATTCAAAAGCAGACTCATCACAAGAAGAACGAGCAAGAAACTTGTGTGTTGCTCTTTTAAATGAATATTGATTTAATTATTTATATTAACAAGGATTCCGTATGCGACAATCAACATAGAAACCGCTACGCACTTAATCTCTGTTCAATGTCCGCGCTATCAATTTTAAGTTAGATATTTTCTACAAAAACATTATTAATATTTATAAATTCTTCAATTTTATAATAGGCCTTTTTACAAAGATTTATAGATAAAGATAAAGAATATTTTATAAGACATCTTTTTTCTGGCAATTTGAGTACAGATTTTAATATAAAAAAAAAGATTCTGGCAGTTTGTTGTAAAACTACGCAATTTCCATAAAACGAATACTAACTAACGAATACTAACTTTTAAAACTAGTTTGTTGATTACGTAAGCTTTTATTAGTGTAATCGCCTACATCTTTAAAACTGTCAATGTTTTTCCTGGCATACATGATATTTTCGTATTTGTTTTGAGAAGCATCGGTGAGGATATTTATATATAATACATGCTGTTAATAACATAAAATTCCACGCGGACGAAGTCACGGACTTTGTCTCGCGTGGAATTTTATTTTATTTTTCTAAAATAAAAGAACTTTTCTAAAATAATAGTAGCCTAAATAACTCCTTATGGTCTCCTTACGTCAAAATCAGTCCAGCCATTTCAGTGATTAGCCGGAACAAACAGACCGACAGATAAAAATTGTAAAAATTGTTATTTTGATGTACGTACCGTATTTACATTCATATGCATATAGTAAAAACAGTTATTTCAATATTACAAACAGAGACTCCAATTTACACATAAGATGCCGTATAGATTACACATAGGATGCCGTAACAGACCGTGGTGGAATTCTAGAATTATAAAAATACTTACATCTTGTGATATTTCCCCAGACAGATCTTGAAAAGTCACAGCTTTAGACAAGCCACAGATTTCTCTGAAATGATATTTCAAGAAATATTATATTAATAATACTTATATATACTATTACTACTTATATAACCAGTTACATAATAAAAAATTTTGGAAGAGTTCTTTGACACTGACATAATATTTTTGTATATTAGATGCTAGCTTTGCCCGCGTGAAATTTATAAGCTCTATGTTATTTTGAAGGATAAGCTATATTACTGTAAACTTTCATAAAAATCAGTTCAATAGTTCTTGCATGAAAGAGTAACAAACATTGATACTTACAAACTTTCCGTTTATAATATTGTGCCTACACTTGTAATACACATTTCCGTCGACACTTGCGACCCTTCCATTAGTTTACGTCTCCACTAACATAAATTTAAGTTAAGTGTAAAATAAGTCCACGTTCCGACTCCGCGTCGGCTGGAAGCGTTATTTATAAACCATGTAGCACACTACCAATACACTTAATAATCCTTACTAATATTATAAATGCGAAAGTAACTCTGTCTGTCTGTTTCGCTTTCAGTCCAAAACTACTGAACTGATTTCAATTAAATTTTGTACACAGATAGTCTAGACCCTGAGAAAGGACATAGGCTACTTTTTAATGCGAATAACGGATTGTAAGGGGCTGAAAGGGGAGATGAAGGGATAGAACCTTTTAGCTTTAATCTTGAAACTTATTATTTAGACTGTTCATTAAATATAAATAAATATGACTAAGCTTGTAAAATTGTTATATTTAAGGGGGTAAAAGATAGGGGATGAAAGTTTGCATAGAAAATCGTCATTCTTGAAGTTTTAACGAGAAATCTTTTTTCTTTCCCATTTTGGGTTACATTATTATACTAGCTGTCCCGGCAAACGTTGTTTTCCTTAAAATAAAAAAAATTAGGGGTGGACTACCCCTAACATTTAGGGGGATGAAAAATAGATGTTGGCCGATTCTCAGATCTACTCAATACGCTCACAAAATTTCATAAGAATCGGTCAAGCCGTTTCGGAGGAATATGGGAACGAAAACTGTGACACGTGAATTTTATATATAAGATTAATACGCGGACGAAGTCGCGGGCACAGCTAGTGTGTAATAAATAGTGCAATTATTTTACCGGTATACTCACTACCTACATACAACAATAAATAAAATATTATGTAGCGGCACCTCATCATAACATATATAACACTACAGTGATGAGGATAACCACCAAATTAAGACTAGCTGTACCCTCGTTTTTACCCGTAAAAAAATTATAACCTATGTTATTCTGATGTATAAGTATGATGTATATTACTGTAAAGTTTGATAACATCCGTTCAGTAGTTTTTGAGGCAAAGAGTAACAAACATCCGTGCATACTCACAAACTTTCGTGTTTATAATATCAGAGCTGCAGTGACACGCTGCAGCACCAGCTGAGCGGAGGCTTTTCAGCTCATAGATATTAATTTTTAAGTTTTCTATATTTTTACTCTGTATGTGTACGATGCTGAATAAATGATTATTATCTATACATATAAATAAAATTGGAGTGTCTGTTTGTAATATTGAAATAACCGTCTTTTACTACATGCATATGAATATAAATACGGTACAGTCAACAAAATAACATTTTTTTACCATTTTAGTCTGTATGTTTGTTCCGGCTAATTTCTGAAATGGCTGGACCGATTTTGACGGATCACTTTTTGGCAGGTAGCTGATGTAATAAGGAGTAACTTATGCTATTTTTGTTTAAGAAAAAATCTTTTTTTTTAGAGAAATAAAGTTAAATGCCACGTGGACGAAGTCGTGGGTACAGCTGGTTATTATAAAAGATACATAATTAATTCCATAGCAGAGTTCGCGGCATAGAGTTGTATTCCTCATCTTTCATAATGTAACATCACCTGTAATCGTTATAAGAGGCGATACCGTGATCTCGGCCTCTCTGTATGTCCACAGCGATGAGGTCCAGCCCCCATTGGTTGCGAGATTTGAACAGGTGGTTGGTAACTTCTTCCGTGCAGAAGGGATCAGCCTCGTGGCAGGGCTGCGCGATCATCCCGCGGACAACGTCATCGAACGCCTCCGCAGAATATTCTAGAAGACTCGGGTTGAAGTAGTGGTCGCTTAATCTGTAATGGGGAGATAACAATGAAGGAAGAAAGAAAGAAAAACATTTATTGCTAACCATTATTAACCACCGTAACTCTACTGTTCGAGGCCCGTGGCAAATTCGTTGGATGCCTCCTTCCTCTTTTTTATAACAAATACATTAAAATTTTAATACATTTTTTACTGGCGACTAACTATTTAAGTTATCTAATAATTATTTAAGTTATCTACTTTAACTCAGTAGATAACTTAAATAAATTAAAAACAAAATATTTTTTTTAATTAGAAGTTGGGATTCTCTAGTTGAGGTTCCTTGGTATTTTACCGAATTGACACCTAATTTACGCTATCAATAGACTATTGCAAAAACAACATGCATGATGACTAGCCCACAGGACACTGCAAATTAAACAAACATGGCAAACCTAGGCCTGTGCAGAACAAAAATTTGCAGACTTTCCCAAACGTCACTACACATCCTACACACCCATGCATAAACATAATAGCTTCTTTTCTATGCTATGCTATGCTTCCATTCTTGTCCCTAACGGATCTAGGTAGCGAACTCTGAAAAAAGGGCGAGCACAATAGATCTATGTAGGTCGCAGTGCTACAGGGCCAAGCTCCTGACAATAGCCCAAACCCTCAATAAAAAAAATAAAAACACTCACTTATACAAATACGCGGCATGGTAACTCCACGGGCAGGTCATGATCGAGTCGGGTATAACGGAGTGGAGGAACCTGAAGGCGCCCGCTCCGAACCCGTTAATGACTCCAGCATTGACATCCTCGTTATAGTCGTGGCTGTAGAGAGTCGACGGTGAGATCCGGTAGTAGCGGTAGTAACTTTCACCTGAATATTAAAAAAAACATTTTCAAAAATCAATTAAACATGTACCTATAGCATGTTGCGGGTGACATTTCATTTCAATCTTAAAAGTTGCCGCGATTTACAAATGATGACTTAGTATTTCAGATGTAACGTATTCGTAATATATTAAATCAATAATATAACTATAGTAATTTAAATTTAAACCAGACCAGAATGTTCTAGTCTACAAATACAGTCAACTGTCATAAAAGTATACCACGAGCAAACATATACTTTTCAAGAACAAATGATCTCACCAAAATTGAGAGGCAACCACTCCTGATAAGTTATATGCTGTATTTCAGCGATAACAATCTTCCGTGTCTCCTGGTACAGCTTCTCATCTGACCATAGAGGGTTCAGGGATGCCAAAATATCGGCTACTCTGTTGTGCTCCCGCAGAAGGAGTGTCTGGAGGAGTGCTAGAGTCGGAGTTTGGTTTATTCTGACGTCACCTAAAAGAAGAATTTACAAAAGTATAATACAATTATTTTTAAGAAATAAATAACCATGGACAACTTATACTGTGCCACCTAGTGACAAAGAGCCTGGAGGAGTGCCAAAGTCGGAGTTTGATTTATTCTGACATTACCTAAAAAGTAGAATTTACAGAACAATTTTATAAGAAATTATCCCCTCAAAGTAAATATTTAATTTACACTTTATACAAACATGTGTCTGTAAAAAAATCTAGTGTTAGTGAATACGCAGGAGTGATCCTATGACCTACGTTACAAAATAAATAAATACATACAACTTATACAATGCCATCTAGCGGGAAATTAAAGAATTAACTCTGAGAAAATGAACAACTGATAGGTAACTTTTATCCGCAACTTCATTATAATCAGCATAACGACACGCCAGAAAGTGATCTACATTTACAATTGTAAACATGCCTTGTCCGTACATAAAAAAAATTAATAATTGTATAAACGAAGTAAAAAAATATTTAATAATTTTTGTCTTCTCAGAAACAATTTAATTTATAGCGATATTGTCTGTTTTTTTTTCAGATACAAGACAGAATATATATGTCCTCATATCTATCGTCATGCCAAATTTCATTAAGACCTGTTCTGTCATTTAGTCGTGAAGAGGTAAACAGACAGAAACACTTTCTTATTTATCATAGTAATATGGATTTTAATACTGAATATCATACGTACAAAGTTACGGGCATAGCTAATAAAAACATCAAAGTATTATTAGTATTACTATATTATTATTATCACAGAAACATTGTTATGATATTAGATGTACATAGATTATAATTTTGTATTTTAAATTCATGAATTAACAAATAAATAAAAAACAATAGCACAATCAACGACAATACATTACCTGCCAAATAACAAGGTTCAGACGTATTCCTCAGGTCACATACAGATTTATCATCCACGGAAGGCAAGAATCCTCTCTTGCACTTCTCCCTAGTTTCCTGTCGTAACCTGCCACCCGACTTGGTTCTCAGGCGCGAGGCTAGCTTCTTCTCCGGCCCATAAATAGGCGAGCCGTCTAAATAACTCGTCACTGTGTTCATCTGAAATATTATAAGAATTTATTTGTTTATTTAATTCACTAATGGCCTATATGGTAAACCAGGAGTGTACACAACAAAAATCTGCAGATTTTGCCAAACTGAAGAGGAAACGCCACTACACATCCTATGTGGTTGTAGCTCACTCCTGAATTAACCTTTATGGTAAGTTTACAATCCTCCAATTCTTGTCCCTGACGGGTCTAGGCAGCGAACTCTGAAATAGGGCGAGCACAATAGATCTATGTAGGTCGCAGTGCTACTGGTCCAAGCACGTGACAATACCCCAAACAACCCAATAAAAAACCTGGCCCATATTGTAAATACCTTACAGACTAACATACATATGAATTATATTAAAATTAATATAAAATGTCTGTGTGGTCACAGCACTGATGATCTGCGGCAATCTGCTAGCGTCGATACACCACACCCTTCGGCCAGTAGTCCTTCACCAAGGTGGGCTGCATGTTGGTGTGAGCCCGACCTACAAACGCCTTGAAACTCTATTACATTAAAATATATAGAAAATAGCCATACCGTTACGAACAATCATACTCATGAATGTTTGCACCGTGCGAATCGAACCCATAACCATCTGTAAAGCGGTGTGTAAACCGCTAAACTACCGACGCCGTGAAATATATAATTTCATTCATTCATTCATAATTTAAGAGCTACGCTCTTGTCGGTGGAGCTCTTGCCACTTTCCGCGATCTTCCATCATGCTCTTTACTTCTAATTAATTCTCTCTAATAAATAACTAATAAAAAATATATAATATAAGTACATAATATAAAACAATACGCAGAAGAGCAAACAAGTTGCATAAATTTAACTCCAAAATTAAATTTTGTAAAAATAATTATTAACTTTAATTGGATAGGTATGAATATGAATTTTAAATGTGATGGATTATATACTTTTTATTCCACAAGTGTACCTAACAGTACGTAATATTATTTAATATGTCCTAATAGTATTTAATAATAATTACCTGTTCTGCGTACCCTAAACTACAATCATCTCTAGGGGTAGTAACGCTTCTGACTAGATTAAGACATTTTATCCCATGGTAACGGTGGAACGGGTCATCCTCAGGAACGGATATCGGTATACAATTCACATTCTGCCACTCTGGCTGAAGAATATCAATCCCTTCACCGAGACAGCACTGGATGCCTCCTTCATCTGAAAATATATGTTAACTCAAATATTAAATCTGCTTTTTAGAACTATTTTCATTAAGTTGGATTATGTAATAGGAATTTTGCAATAAAAATGATTTTGGCCTCTTAACCCTCGCATCGCAAATATTGAAGTTAATAATCTCAATTTTTCTCAGCAATTAGAAACCATTCGTCGCTGATACTTATGTACATTGATTGATTGATTGACGTGATTGATCTCGTTACGTGAACTTTTGTAGCAGAGAAAAAACTCTGAAACAATGGTCTTATAAAACTTAGATTTACATGGTAAACACTTAAATAGAGCAATTCAGATGTATATAATAACTAAGAGTTTTATTTTAAACAACATAAATTGTTTTTGTGCAGGCAGAGCTAGCGAGCGCTGATGAGTCGATCCCCAACATGTAAAACGCGGTGTATGATATGAGGTATGCCTGTTTTGAAATAATCTTTATCATGGCGGCGCCTTTATTATTCATAGACATTATTTTGTCTCACCTATACTTCCATAAATAAATATATAATAATAATAATAAGTAAGTTGCCATCTCCTCTCCTTAAGAGGGGAGATGTGATTTTTTTTTGAAGTTTAGAAATAATTATAATAATCTCAGGACAATTGACACAGCGCCATCTAGACCCAAGTTAAGCTAGCTAAAGCTTGTGTTATGGGTACTAGATGACTGATATTAGTGCCGGGCGAGGAATCGAACCCGCGACCATCGATCGTAAAGCGGTGTGCTAGACCACTAGACCACCGAGGTCGGCAAATTTAATTAGTAATATCAGAGTTTTAAATTAATTAATAATTAAAATTAATTATTTATTTTCGTTTACTCACCTGTAGATTCCATAACCTGTAGCATCAGGTCGTGGGTGACGAACTGGCCCCATTGCATGTTCATGTAATTGAAGACACGGCTGGAAATCTGCTGGTCTGAGAACATACGCGTAGACAGCACGCGTGGATTTGGGAGAGGGTGACCACTCTTTGCTAACGGCATGGCATATATTCCTTTAAAAAAATCATCATTAATTATTACATTCGCAGCGACTGCGGTTACTGGTACAGAGACCCAACCTTTATAACATTAGCTTAATTGTTCCAATATTATACAATCAACCAATCAATAAGTCACAAAATTAAATATACGACCTATAAAATAGATATAAACTTAGTATAAGCACTCAGGGACAGTCATATTATTTTTATTCTACCACTCATTCTGAAGGCAAACTCAGCCCAAAAAGAACGAGAAAGGCTTATAGAACTCGCTGATGTAACTTTCAATAAGATAATAGATTGGTCCACATTTCAAAATCTAATCTAATCTTAATAATTTTTCAAACGCAAACGTTTGTAAGTATGGATGTTTGTTACTCTTTCACGCAAAACTTACTGAACCTTTTTGATGAAACTTTACAGTAATATAGCTTATACATCAGAATAATACGTACACTATAATTTTTATTGAAATTTGAAACCGCGGGCACAGTTAGTATTATAATATAAATATACTCTTTTTAAGAGAGATCTTAATAGTTTATTCTTATCTAAGCTCATAAACGCACCATCCGCATACCGTGGTGTGGCCAGCCTTGTAAATGGAGCTCCGCTGCGGCCCCACGCCGCCCGCCGCAGATTATTACACGTGCCGTCGATGCTGCGGTACTTCGTGTTGTGACATGTGACGTGGACCGGCCTGCAGGAGGAACCCTCGTGGATCCTTATCACTTGGTGTTCGAGGAATGAGAGGAAGGTGTTGGATGTTGCTCCTGAACTGCGTAGACGAAATATAGCAAACATATAGTTTTATATATTGACCCATTTTGAATCCTAACTGTCTAGTTCAGCTAGCAAATTGAGTTTAAAAAAAGTGACAAGAAATTTGTAAATTTTTATATTACCTACTATTATTTTTGTGTTTTGTATTGTGGTGAACGCAACAGTTGACTTGCCCACATTTCGCTGGATATTAAAAAAATTCACAATTCAAAATATCTTTATTCATATGGGTTTATTACAGACTCTTATGATATGTCAAATCTACCGTCAGTTCGGAATGATTTTGTGATGAGAAGAACTGACACGAAACTAAGCTCATATTCGTTTCAAATAAATGTTGTACATATTTACAAACATATATTTGAACATGTCAGGGACCGAGCCTACTGCCGTCACTCGAATGTTTTTTTTTGTTTTATATCGATTATGGATTATAATGAAATAATACACTTGCCTGCGCTAACGATTTACGCTGGCAGGGCACCAATGAAGGAAGATATGATAAAGACGAAGTCAGGTCAGGTCACGATGATTTCCAGGGATCGTGTGGAGGTCGACCTGATAGACATTACATTGCCAGCAAAGGGGCCACTAGTTCTTATTACTAACAATCACCTCCCCCCCCTCCTTCATATCGATGTTTCTTGATATATCTTTTTTTTCGGACTATAGAGCGGCTAAAGATCAACTCCCGCCTGACGGATAGGACTTTACTCTAAGGGCACCGCTAGTGGTTCGAACCTATTATCGTATTTGTATCAGTTGTCTAGTATCCATAGCATAAGCACTGCTTAACTTGACACTAGATTGCTATTATTACTATTTTTATTTTCCAACCGACTTTCCTTCAAAACATGACATACTATAGAGGTGCTCAGACTCATAATGATGGTTTTGTGTTATAAAACATGACTTGTAATTCACAAAAAATAACGCCACAAACCCCAAACACCCAAAAATAAACTTTCAATCAATTAAATTTCTTTTCACAACTATATCTACACTGTTTCTAACTACACCATTTAATATTATAGTCGTAAAGTTATACTAATTTCGTTATATAACTAATTTTGTATTCTGGATGCGTTACAAACCTCGATAATCTCATCTGCAGCAGCTTAGTAGCCGCTAGAAGCTCCTGTGATGCTTCTGAAGCCTTTTTTAGCTCAGCAGGACGTGATGCAGGATAGAAGTGCATCAGTCCTGGAGGGTATACGTCAAGAGTGATCCCGCTGCGCACTAGCTGGTTGCCTCGTTGTGTATTCTGCCGGGAAATTTCACGACCACATCGAATGCATTCCGAGAGTAGCTCAGAAGTTGTAGGATTGTCTTCTATAACTTCTACAACACACTTGTCTATGGTACGTAATTTGAATATATCCTGAATTATAGAAGACGTGTCAGCTAGAAGTGGGCATAGTGATGGCAGAAGATCCTCAGTCAAAAACTCCAATCCTGAATTATAACAACCACTCACAATCACCAACAAAAAATAAAATAACAATGTTGTTCTCGAAATAGTACTCCTTCCACGACCGAAAATTTCCATGCCCATATTCATTTACACTTGGCAACCTTGACCTTTTAGACATTAAAAAAAAATACACGCCACATTTTTAATCAACTAAATGGTGTTTGTTAAATAATTAAAAAAAATAATTAGAGTCTCTGATTTACGTGTTAGTCGCACTACTGAAGCGTAAAGTTGAATTTAATATCACAAATTACTCGATCTAATCACATCACGTACAATAGTTACAAAAATAATGTTGTACCGTTACACTTGTTACAGAATGACCGCTTTTATCTCAATACGTATAAAGTACATTTTAGATCGTATCCTCATTAAAAAAAAATATTACCCAATTAAATAATTGCGCGAACTTCTAATTGTTACATAAAAGGATAGGGCATGTTTTGTATTATTTATTTACACAACTGTCTGTGTATCTAGGAATGTTACATTATTTGTAACAATTATTTTCTATTCTATTAGAAGTTAACAAAATTACGTAGAAGTATTTTTATGGATGATAACGATATTGTGCACCACCCACCTGCTCTTACAGATGGTTTCCACGGGGAAGGTGGAGGTCGTGGAGGTCTCAGTCCCCGCACCCGCCAGCGTAAATCGTTAGTGCAGGTGGGTGCACCATTCCATTGTCAATAAAAAAAACATTACACCTTGTGGAAGGGGAGTTTCAGTAATGTGGAGTAATCAAACATGATGTAATATAGTACATAGTAATGACTAGCAATGTATCATGGTCAGGTTCAACTGGAAACCATTGTAATAAACTCCTGGTGAACTGAATTCCTTTGTCACGGTAGGCTAATCGCACTGACCTTATGCTCATCTTATCACCGTCCACTGGTGCCCCGCTAGCATAAACCTTTTCCGCAGGCGGGCTTACCTTTCCATTATCACCGATAAAGAGACCAAGTTTCCCATACTTATTCTCTTATAATAACCCTGGACAATTCACAGCGCCATCTAGTCCCAAGCTAAGCAGATCCGATGTTATAGGTACTAGAGAACTGATTCAAATAAATACACATTTTTTTGTAAATACATACATAATATTCATAGAAAACACATACACTAATACAAGCAACCATACTCATAAATACAAATATTTGTTCCGTGCGAGGAATCAAACCTGCGACTATAGAAAGTAAAGCGGTGTGCAAAACCGCTAGACCACCGTGGCTGTCAATAATACATAATCTCTTATCTGTGCTAAGGATCCGATGCCATGTTAGGTTAGTTAGGTATTTATAATTTAAAAAGTAATAATTGAAATTTTATTTATTACTAAAAAACCAGGGTTATACTATGTACTCATATGTTGACACAATTTATAAAACAAACTAAGTCACTGACAGAATTGGGCAATTACATAAAAAAAATACGATAATAATTTTCATATTAGTTGTAACTATAATAAAACACATTAAAATATACAAACAATATATATTTTATACATATATGTCTTAATAAAATAATTTAACTTACTTAAAATTTAACAATTAAGTACCTATTTATATGTATATTAGAGAACTATTAACATTTTATTTTTTACACTTATATTTACATTAATGTCTAGTGTTTACTACTCGTTTTCTTTCACTCCTTATACCTTCATATCTCATACCTAATCCAGTGGACTGTACATATTAGTCCATATTTTGTCCAACAATTTCGCTATCACATCTGCCAATCGAAATATAACATACAAGGCAAGCTGATTTGAAGATTATCTATACATATAAATAAAATTGGAGTAAGAGTGGATACTGCGTGGTCATATTCTACCACTTATCAATGAAATTAATATTTTTTGAAACATTCGAAATAACTAGCAACAGTTATTCTATTTATACATTAAGTAATGAAATAAATGATGTATGACACGTCTGATTGTGAAGATAAAGACTGAGTATACACTTATAAATATTGGGAAATGGTATTTCTTTGACTAAAATGAAATGTTTTTTTAATATTCTAGAATCTGCTTTACATAGTATAAAATAAAGTCGCTCCCGCTGTTTGTTCGCTTATATCTTTTAAACTATGCAACGGATTTTAATGCAGTTTTTAGCAATAGATAGAGGGACTCAAGGCGAAGGTTTATATGTATAATACATGTAGTGCGAAGCCGGGGCGAGTAGCAAGTTAGCAATATTTAACAAATAAGCTTAATGCCATACCAATGTACTTACAACAAATAAATATTTAAGTATGTGTAATATTTATTTGAGAATGCGAATACATTGTCAATTCATAATCTAAATTAAACTATTTATATACACATTACAAAATACTTACTAGTACAGTAAAATGGTACACATACATCATAATGTGTAACTTAAAACTTGGGTATTCCTATATTAAAATCTTCTTCAACAAACAAGGGTATATACCTAATGATAGTTATTAAAAAAAATATTTTAAGCTTTACTATAAAAAATTAAGAAATAGGTATAATATTTTCAAAATAAAAATAATGGTCCAAGAAAAGATTTTAATTTCCATATCTCTACTTGTATAAAATCGAGGTTCTGGAGATCAGGAGCGTTTGTACTTAATGAATCAAAATACAGTTATGAGGTTACAACCGTATATATATATTGATTTAAGTGCATAAATAAAAAAAATTACATATCTATATAACAAAAATATCTTATTAGCGTGTTTTAGAAATATGTATGCAAAATACATTGCCATCTAGTCGTACTAGTATAAAACTATTTTCACTTGAACACTTCTCTATCCTCTCTATACTGTTTATTGCAGAATAATTTAAATATTGCAGGTACTTAATTATAAAAAAAGACATTTTTATATGGTATAAACTTGTTGTTTAAGTAAGTAAGATTTATCTACATAAATATAAGGCACTCCATATTATAAAAAATACATTTATTTGACTAGAAGTGGTAACGTATACATATCACCATTTAGCATAAACATCTAGAACAATCGATCTATCATTACAATCGTAATTAGCCACAAATATTCTCATCAACTAAATATATATAACTCAAAGATGACTGACTGACATAATGATCTATCAACGCACAGCCCAAACCACTGAACGAATCGGGCTGAAATTTGGCATGCAGGTAGATGTTATAACGTAGGCATCCGCTAAGAAAGGATTTTGATTAATTCTACCCCCAAGTGGATAAAATAAGGGATGAAAGTTTGTATGAAACTTTGTCAATTTTAAACCGATCGGGCTGAGACTTTTCATGCAAAAAGCTACTATGACGTAGGCATTCCCTAAGTAAGGATTTTGATAAATTCCACCATTCCAAGGGGATAAATTAACGCGAGCGAAGACGCGGGCAAAAGCTAGTCGTTATATATCGTGACATAATTAATATATAATAATAATAATAATCTTTTTATTCATAAATATACAGCACATTTTTATATATTTAGGCCTGGCTTTCGATTATGTTTAAATATATAAACAAAATTTTGAATAGGTACTACCTGTATTAAAAATATGTGACGGTATAAACATTGTAAATATAACATTGCATGTCTATTTATAAATTTTAAGTATTTATATCACTTTTGTAATATAAAACATATACCTAAACTTAACATCATCCTAAATTTTAAACAAAGTTAACTAATTCATAAATTAACAATTAAATTTCCTATCATACAAACAAAACAAAAACTTTTTAGAAAAACCCCAATCATTCTCGGCAAAGGCAATCGTGGACGACGCTCGCTAATCTATACATATAAATAAAATTGGAGTGTCTCTGAAATAGCTGGACCAATTTTGACGGAACTTTTATTGGTAGGTAGCTGATGTAATAAGGAGTAACTTAGGCTACTTTTATTTTAGAAAATCAAAGTTAAATTCCACGCAGCCGAAGTCGCGGGTGCAGCTAGCATATAATATAATTTTATCTATATATGTATGTAACAACTAATTAATACGTACAGACATTTGTTTTAGAACTAGTAATAAGTTAAATGATCTTAACATAGTATAAAATAAAGTCGCTTCCACTATTTGCTCGCTTAGATGTTTTAAACTACGCAATGTATAGAGTGATTCAAGAGGAAGCTTTATATGTGTAATACATCTACAGTACACCCGTGAGAAACCGAGGTGGGAAACTAGTTAAATATAAACTAAGAATTGTAGGTTTTTATTACCAATGTAAACTAAATCCCAACTTTCTAACGTGTACAAACGTCTTGAATATATAATCCCACATCTTGCTGCTGATCCCGAATGCTAAAAGAAACACAACAAATATTTTAATTATTAATTTATTTGTTAATTATTAATTATTAGCGGTCTACCTATCATCCAGACCGATACAAACAGTCAAACTCATGTATACAAATGTATGCACCGTGCGAGGAATCGAACCTGCGACCATCGGAAGTAAAGAGGTATGTTAAACCGCTTTACTCTCCCCAGCTAACCTTAGAGTATAATCAGAATGCGTTGTGAAGTAATAGCGAGGACTGTGACACATTTACTGATATAAATAACTATACAAGATATTATAATAAATATAATATAATGAAATATAAATATATATATGAAAACTTTTAAATTTAATACCGCTAACAATTGCACTAAGAATGAGTGCGTAGCGGTTTTTATGTTGATTATCGCATGCCTCTTACTTGTTATTGTGTAATTATTTGTTTAAAATAACATTTAAGTTTCTTTCAACACACAATAGTTTCTTGCTTATTCTTCATGTGATGGGTCTGCTTTCCGAATAAGTGGTAGAATAAAAAAATTTGACTATTCAAAAGTGCTTGTATTGAGTTTATTTGAATAAATATTATTTATATTTATTCGAAGATATTTCTATTATATATGTACAGCTTACTAATATTATAAACGCGAAAGTTTGTGAGTATGGATGGATGTTTGTTACTCTTTCACGCGAAAACTACTGAACAGGTTTTGATGAAACTTTATAGTAATGTAGCTATTCTGATGTACAAGCTGTATCAGGTAACTGTGATGCAGACAAAGTTGCGCGGGTGAGCTAGTATGATATAAAGTTAACAGTTGTAGTTATAAATAGTTGACCACCTCGGTGGTCTAGCGGTCTAGCACACCGCTTTACGTCCGATGGTCGCGGGTTCTATTCCTCGCACGGCACAAACATTTGTATTCATGAGTATGATTATTTGTATCGATCTGGGTGTTTTCTATGTATAATATGTATGTATTTACAAAAAAAAAATATCTATGTACTTCTATTAGTTGTCAAAAAAAAAATAGTATAGAGTTTTACCTTTATCATGATTGACAAAATGATGATTGGAGTGATATCTCTTCATCGCGTACAGATAAGTGCCATCTTCCGGTGACCCATGGTGCACATAATAATGTATCATATCGTAGGTCAGGTAACCTGGACACACCATCAACGTTATCAGCAATACAAGGTGATAATGAATAATATTTTGTATCGAATGTTTTAGGATGCATGTTTACATACGATAAACTAATATGTACTTCATGATTTGACATTGTAACTACTATTACATAATTGGTGTAGTGGTTTAATGTACATGCTCATCCTTTATTGGTGTAAGGTTCGATCCTCGAACTCGAAAAGCAAACATTTAGGTATATTCATAAATATGTCATCTATACATATAAATAAAATTGGAGTGTCTGTTTGTAATATTGAAATAACAGTTTTTTACTACATGCATATGAATATAAATACGGTACATACACCAAAATAACATTTTTTACAGTTTTTGTCTGTCTGTCTGTCTGTTTGTTCCGGCTAATCTCGGAAATGGCTGAACCGATTTTGATGGGAATTTTTTGGCAGGTACCTGATGTAATAAGGAGTAACTTAGAAAGTAAGTAAGTAAGTAAGTAAGTCATTTATTCGCATTACAGACAGATATGCACATAACAATAAAGCCCCAGTGACAGTAGCAGGCTGCGCTGTAATATGCCTTTTTTCAGTAGGCATGCAAATTTTATTAATAAACCTAATAATTACATATATTAATATTTACATTATAACAATTAGATTAATATTACATATTTAAATTTATAGATTATTACCATTATTACAATTATTATTACTTTATTATTATTTATAATATTTATAATTGAAATAATCGTCCAGAGAGTAAAAACAGTGTGTCAACAGCCATTTGGTTAATTTATTTTTAAAATTATGTCCTGTCAATTCTATTAGATCTGCGGGTAAAGTGTTATATATTTTGTGTGCCATGTAAAATACATTTTTTTGAAATAGGGTTAAGTTACTTTTGGGCAACACTAACTTAATTTTTCTGGAGGATCTTACATTATTTTTTATTTGACAGTGGGATGTAAACATAGATAAATTCTGTTTTACAAACAAACATATTTCAAATATGTATAGACACGGCAAAGGAAGAATATTTAGTTTTTGATACATTGGTCTACATGAATCTCTATTACCTAAGTTACATATTGCTCGTATACATTTTTTTTGAGCTTTGAAAACAGTTTCGATCTCAGTGGAATTGCCCCAAATTATTAAGCCGTAGCGTAGCACTGACGATATATAGCCATGATATGCACTAAGTGCCGTCTGGAGTGATGCAACCTGTCTCAGTCTATAGAGTGCGAACACAAATTTGTTTATTTTTTAGCAAACGCCATCTACGTGTTTTTTCCAGTTTAGATTCTCATCAATCGTAATACCTAGAAATACTGTTGACTCTACTTGTTCAATCTTTTCTCCCTTATAATATACATGTAAGTCAAGCCTTTGTCTTTTATATGTTTTAAACTGCATAAGTTTCGTTTTAGAAACATTTATGTGCAAATTATTGTGTTCCATCCATTTTACAACGTTTTGTAGCGTTATATTTATATTACTTTCGAGAGCAATTTGGTTGTTGGTTATATTTGGACATTCAAATAAAAGTGTACAATCATCTGCAAATAGTATACATTTATGAGTTATCGAGTCTGGTAAATCATTAATATATAATAAAAATAGAAGGGGACCTAGGATACTACCCTGTGGTACTCCGCAACTATTTATTCTTAGTGCTGAGCGAATATTCACTTTTTCATTATTTATAATGTGCCCTATTTCTGTATATTGCTCACGATCGTTTAAGTAACTTGTCAGCCATTCATGCACTTTACCCCTTATTCCCATTTTCTCCAATTTACCTAGTAGAATTTTATGATTCACAAAGTCAAAAGCCCGTGACATATCAAGAAATAAGCCCACTGAATTTATGTTATTGTTTATGTCATCAGTTATCTTTTTTACAAGTGTATAGCAGGCCAGTGTAGTTGACTTATTTTTTTGAAAGCCGAATTGATTTGTTTTAAGTAATTTATGTTTAGTTACAAACGCATTCAACTGTTTGGCTATAATTTTTTCAAAAATTTTTGCTAGAATTGGAATAAGAGTAATTGGTCTATAATTTTCAATTTCTATTGTATCTCCCTTTTTGTGTATCGGTTTTATTACTGATATCTTTAAGCGGGTTGGAATGGCTTAGGCTACTTGTATTTCACAAAAAATCTTTTATTTAAAATAAATAAAGTTAAATTCCACGCGCATGAAGTCGCGGGAACAACAGCTAGTATTATATATATCTGAATGTTTATCTGTGAATATAAAATATATTGGTCGCGAGTTCGAATCCAGACACGAGAATCTACACCACGAGATTTATCTGTATCTTTATACTGAGTTGGTTGCCATCGCAGCATATAGTCAAATAAAATATTAAATTAAACCATGATGTGATCAGTTTTAACGCAATATATAAATCCGTATATACGTGAATAATAATATTCAGTGAGAAATTTTGATTTAAGTTGAAGGAATGAAAGAGTTGAAAAACGCCTTTTTTCAAAATAAATAGATAACGATAAGAACTATGAAAACATGTCTGAAATAAAAGTTGTAGAGAAAAAAAATCTACACAAAAGAGTTCCTTTTCAGTTTTTCATTATCTGTTGTTGTTTAGCCACAAAAATAAAAAAAAAATTGCCTCATTAACAACTGAAAAAATTGTTGTAATACGCATCTGTACGACGCAGCGCACGCATCTCATCTACAAACACTAATACAATTAAAATCACTAAGTTTTGACAGATTGCGCGTGAATAAAATGACTTACTGTACACAATATTATGAGCACATGTTTATAAACACCAAAATAAAATTTGTAGACAAGTTCTTGAGTGAATTATTAAATATTAAAAGTATATATTGCGTCAAAACTGTTCACATCATTGTTTAATTTGATATTTTATTAATACTAATAAAGATATATTATATATAAATCTGTAGCGATGCCATTCTGTTGCCGCCTGTACTATATATAAAACATTGCTTTTGATTTTAGAAAAATGCGTCGCGTACCCTGTTATGGGGTCGGGGGTTAATTGTACAACCGACGCGCCTGTAGACCGGGCTAATTTTTAAATAACCCCGATGATTAAATAAATCAGCCAGACTTGCGTAGGTGTATACAAACAATCTTTTTAGCCTTGAATCGATTCACTGTCATAGCATTATAAATTTTATTAAGGGAATGAGTTCCAGCAATTGCTATGTCGTTAAATTATTGCTGGAATTTATTTCAAAGACTCAATGATCAGATACATTAGCGCAATACTAACACATTAGTATTTTTAAGAAGATAACAGCAGAATAATATTATTACGTTCTGACAGAATTGCAATAGCAGAATTGTGCTGATGGTCAGTATCTTCTCTCAAATTTAATTTTAACATGAATCGGTATTTTTATAATCCCAATAGAAATAGAAATAATCTTCATTCAAATAAACTCATTAGAAACACTTTTAAATAGTCAAATTTTTATTCTACCACTGATTCGGAATGCAGATTCATCACAAGAAGAATGAGCAAGAAACTTGTGTGTTGCTCTTTTTAATAGATTTTTTTTATATAAATATTTTACAAGCTCATATGAAAAGAGTAAGTGCTGAGTTTGTCTTTAGTTCCTTTTACTTGAAACTGAATTCAGAGGTGACGGTAGATATAACAGTATAGTGATATGAAATTTGATGTTTAAACAAACATCAAATATCAGATCACTATACTGTTAGATTAGACTAACTACTGCTAGATTATATAGATTTAGGTATATTAATAAAGATATGATTGATTTGATTGCAATAATGTACAGGTAACCTATTAATATAGGTTAAAACGCAAGTTTTTATTATCGTAGCGAGATAGAGACGACCTGGGTGGCCTAGCGATTTATAAAATTAATTTATGTACTTCTATCAGTTCTCTAGTAGCCATAACACAAGCTCTGTTTAGCTTGAGACTTGTTAGTACTGAGTGTGTCCCGACATATTATTATTATTATAAATATGTATATATATAATTAGTACTAGCTTTAAAACTATTATAGTACTATGAGCCACAACCGACCTTTACAGATGCACCAGACGAAAATAGGGGCGAGTGCAGAAGGCACTCCAAACCCGCTAAAAACTTATGAAACTGCTGAAGGTCAAGTTCTGCTTGACGAAAACGACTCTAGTATGAGGGCACCGCAGGCTATTTAAGCACCTAATTACCTACCTACAATATTTCTTCCTAATATTAAAATTAATGTCATGCTGTAAAATCCACGTAGGTAAGGAAAGAGTATCTACTGTCTAAATGGAAAGATTGACGAATAAAAAAACTAAATCTACATAATATTTTAAAATATTTTCTTCAGTGGATCTGTTTCTACTTTTAGGCGCGCTAAACCGCAAGCAGTAGTGATAATTAATTGGTAAACTGCGGGAAGCCACAATACATATTTAAATATTAAATGAAAAAAAATAAAACGCCAAAAAGGGCCATGGAAAATAAGAGAGAAACTTTGAGAAAAAAAATTAAACGATAATAAATTGCATTAATGTTTACCTATAAGCCCTCCAGTGAGTTTAATGAGTGGGTATGCCAGGAAAAGTTGAAGAATCATATAAATAACATATGCCAAGAGAAAAGCAGGCACCGGTGGAAAAACTTGTCTCAATCCGTCGAATGGTACCTGAAAATTAATAACAATAATTTAATCCGGCCTACACACAACACTGAAATCAATGTTTTTTTTAATTACAACTTATTACACTAGTTGCCTTTAACAAAATTGCTATAGCATATGCTGGTGGTCTCTCTATTCTTCTGAATTTGAATTCAAAAATGAGTCTGTATTATAAATATCTACTACCGTATTTAAAAATAATACGAGCTGAGGTTCTTTCTTTCTTCTCATCTCGAAAGCATTCCAAACTGACGGTGGATTTGTCATACACATATCCTAAGAGTATGTAATAGATCTACATAAATAAAGATATTTTGATTTGATTGGATTATTATATATGCACCGCCAGCATATTTTTTTTTATATTGGTTGATAATGGAAAAGTATATTCCGCCTGCACCAGGGCACCAGTAGAGGATGATAAGATTATTATTTTTATACGTTTCGTGGTGGTGAATTCAACCACGAAGTCGACAGTTAGCCATGCTTCTGACTACTCTAATTTGAATTAGCGTGGTGAAAAGTAATGATAACAATAACCCAAGATTATTCGAGAAATAACAATAGTAGCAATAGAAAAGTCTTTTTGTAAACTGAATAAAATGAAACGAACACAAAATTTTAAATGCAAGACAAAGAATTAGTCTAGCTATTCAAAGGGGGAACGCCGCCAGTATCTTCGGAACCTTGCCTAAAGGGACTGCTTTTAATAATATATTTTAGGTATTATATTTTTTAAGGTTTTTAATTTTAGGTACTTTGTTGTATAATTAAGTTATCATACAGTAATAATTTAAAAATGTAACAAATTTTAAATTATTTTGAATTCATTCAAAGTTCGTCAATAATATTTTTTATTTCTCATATTTATTTATTTATAATCCGAAACAATATCAATCGTGCAAGAAAATAGAAATAAGTTACAAAATTGATTGTATAAGATACAATCAATTTTGTCCACAACATAATAGCAAGTTAAACAGTAAATTTTATTATGTCAGCTAACATAGTGCAATACGTCAACTGAAGTCTTTATGGTTATCATTATAATAGTCGTGTAATAGTAACACTTGCTCAATAAAATGTCCTCATTATAGTTTTAGTAAAATTCAGTCTCACTCTCTCACTCAGTAAAATTGTAAATAGCTTTTAAATCCAACGATATATTTTTAAATAATTTTAAGTTACTATGCGTATTGCCAATTTGGCTAATATTTGAATACGTTTAAGTCAGAAATCAGATACATAAAGTACGATATACATATATTTATATCCCCATCTGTATTTATCACAACTGTCTCATTTATTACGGTTGAGCAAGAGAAATGCATGCACTGTTTTTCTGTTAAAAGATAAGATACGCGAATTGCGTAATATCGGACATTCGTGGTAAACTTTATTTCTCACTTGTAGCAACCATATCTTCTTATATTGATCTGAATTATTTCTAATTACATATATATAAACACGAAAGGTTCAATGTGCTCCTTTCTAATACAGTTGAGTGCAATGATGGGTGACTCATCCGTCATTCTCCTGAACGGGTGCTGCTTGTGGGGACTGGTCTGTTCAGGTTACGATCACTGATTAGACATTTTGCTTTTGCAATAGCACATGCTGGTGGTAACTCTATTCTCCCAAATTTTAATTTAAAAACGAATCTGTATTATAGTTAATATGTACAACATTTATTTGAAAAGAATATGAGCATATATTCTAAAAACGAACATTTTGACCACAGTCGGTAAGGATTTGTTAAGACTGATTTTCAGACGAGAGTAGAGTAGCTATCGGTTATCGTTTGGTAATGGAGTAAGGAGTAGAATAGACTAGGGGGCCCCAATCCCTCGCGGAGCCCTGGGCAAGTGCACAGTGGGGAAGAGGGGCCTGTTGTGATCGAAATTACGTAATTGGCCCACCGATATCATGTACATTTTATTATGCTCCTCTGATGAGGAAAGCCGTCCCGCCCGATTCATATACTAATAGCGCAACATTCCATTATCATGCATGACAAAAAAAAATAAAACAACATACCTTATGGTGCATTCCGTGGATGAGAAAGTGGATTTTGATCATGGTGACGGAGGAGCCAGGGTTGAGGTGGAACACCCACCTATGCAACGAGTACTCAAGTGCCGACCATATCACCAGACCGAGGAATATATGATATAAGTAAAGATGCAATCCCAAAGGATCTTGTTTACATGAATCTGAAAATTATGAATCGTAATTATTAGCCAGAAATAAACATTTTAATAAATTAAATTCTCTACATGTTTTCAAAAAGTATACAAAACTATTCTTGATTGAAAACTAGGTGACCCTACAAACGTTGTTTTGCTATATAAATTAAAATTGCTATTAAAAAATAGGGGTTGATGCTAGAAGGCTAAAAATTGTATTTTTAATGCGATATATTAAATTTAAAAAAAATCTGTTAAAAAAATAAAAATAAATATCACTTAGGAGTTTGAAAAATAGATGGTAGCAGATTCTCAGACCTTTTTATGAAATTTTATATGAATATACATATAAAATTTCATAAAAATCGGTCAAGTCGATTAGGAGGAGAATGGTAACTAACATTGTGACATGAGCCATAGCGCCATCTAGTCCCAAGCTAAGCAGTGCTTGTGTTATGAATACTTAGAAGCTTTTTTTGTAAATACATACATAATATACACATCTGTGTATATTATTATTACTACTATATATTACTGTCGTACAGCTGACACTAGTTCAGACGCCAGGCCTACATAAAAATTGTATAAAAGATGGTATTTATTATAAATATTGATCATTCATTCAAGTAAACCTTAATTACAAACAATACAATATTTGTTATTTAGGCTTAATTAAAAGAAATTCCATCCAGTGATTAGGACCCGCTTTCATTAAGTATTCAGCTATGGCAGACTTATTTATTATTGTTCTTTATTGCTAATACTATCTATTAAGATTGTTTAAAGTAAACAGACTTGATGTCTTAATTTTTTTATATAACTTCTATATATATATATATATATATAACTATTCGGACGAAACGTCCGATTTGTTGGGAACTAGAATTATAAAAACCTTTTAAGTATTACATTTTATCATTTTTAAATAGAGAACTCTGTATTTTCTAGACTACGATTGTATTTTGTTTTTTTTTCTTTACATTCTTGTTACACAACTAATCAGTTAATATTAATATTTAAATTAGTACAAAAATATATAATTAACAGTTAATTTACAATTTTAATAGTTTTTAACAATTACCTACGTCCACCGATCTCTTTTAAATACATACACGTTTCAAATATAATCACTCATGGCATTGTTGAATGACAATACCTCTATATCCTATTTTGGTTAACAGTCAAAGATAAAACGAAATGTCATATACAAATAAATAGACTATTTCTAAACGCTAGACTTAAAACAGTACCGCGTCGACCTAGCTAAACTTACATATGAATCAATAATTCAATGTAACCTGATTCTGTGATATATGGATTGCAATTCTATTTTTGAGAGCGTGGACTTCCGAAGCCCTGCAATAGTTGCATGGTATGTGAAATCAAATATTAATTAGGGCTGACGCATAAATTATGTCAGATCTAATTCAGTAATCACTCCTGAAGCGAAGGTATTTGATGTGTCTGATGAGATGTACTGAGGGTTTGATGGTATTTTCCTCATCATAGATAAAATAAAATGCGACTAAATTGACAGGTACATAACAAAAAAGAATATGTCAAATATGATTATGGAATTTTAAAATAATATAAAAACTCATCAAAGAGTCGCCACAACCTCGAATTTTTTGTGACAAAAATCTATTCCGCCTAATATCCGTACTAAAATTCATATGTGATGTGACAAATCTAAGCCCCATCCTAGGGTTGTTGATTATGTGATGGAGATATGCAGCGAATATAATTTCATCACAGTTGCATGTTACACAAAACTGTTACTTAGCAACAGGAACACTAATTTAAATGTGATGGATATACTTTTTCTTCTAAAATCTATGTGCCTAATATTATGATCATGTTTTTATACCGTCGACCAGTATACAAAGGACGGTAATTCTTAAAGTGCTATTACTAAACATCGATACTCTGTAGCTAGCTCTTTTGTATTTAGATTTAGACAGCGTAGCTCTACCACATATAAATTAAATTCGTCGTTTAATGGTTTCCTACTTTGTAACTAAAGGGGGGAGGGGCTCAATAATCTGCAATACAAACAGTATTGAGGGCTACTGGCCCAAATACCAGCAATATAGGTAACATATCAGGACGACTTCTACACAGAAATCATCTTGATTAAATACTGGTTAATTTTCCACGGTGACCTAACTTACATACAGTGGATGCGTATTTTGCCGCAACTGGTGGCCCGCCAGCGTGTACAGTTTTTTTAATACTATGATGGTTGCAAACGCAAACAAGCATGCCATCTGATAGTAAACGGTTGTCATAGCCACAGATAACATAATATTACCATAGCGTATAGACACCTGATTACAAGTTATTACACCCCCCTGTAGTAATTCATTAAAAAATCTATCAATAGCGAATATACGAGTATATCTTCTCATTTTTATGACGCCCACTCACAATTACTGTAATCGCAAGCATATGCTGACTCAGTGATAAAATTATACATTATTAAATGACTCATATGTAGGTGCAGGAAGGTTTTGTTTTATCAGTTACAATTTTTAAATAATTTATGATTTTATTACACAAATAAAACTACTATTTTCTGATGTAAAAACGTGTGACTAACACAAGAATCTACCCCGTCGATTAGTCATTGATCGACAAAATCTAAATTATTGAAGATATCAGATAAGTAACTAACTTACACCCAAAACAATAAGAGAGTACTGAGAAATTCATTTTTTTCAAATAAAATAACATATGTGTTGGTACCTCTGTCATCATCACCTATTTCAGCTTCCAAACAGCCTGATTTTTGAGTACAGAATTAAGAGGCATGGCACCTTAGTCCTCAGAAAAAACATAATAATATAAACTCTCTTTATGTAGTAGTATTTTTTTTAAATAATAAAATAATGAAATGAAAAGTTACCATATTTTGTCAAAACACTTGTATCGCGGGACTTTATGACCGTACTCATATGTAGATTTGGTCTCATGTTTCTTTTTTACTTTTTAAGACGTATAGGCTTAGTATAGTCTTTGCCTCTTCCTAGAAGGAATAAAAAATATGTTGGTGAATATCCAATAGAATCTGTGGTAGTAATGTTTTTTGAGCACGGCATATTTGCAAGCACTATTTTACATATTTGGTATTTCATTTATAAAGTTTTTACCTGCATGTCCAACTATCCTCACTTACATAAACGCAACATTATATGTATGTAAAAACATAACAGTTTATATAACACACAATCTATGTAACAATCAATGTTTTTACATAGATTCAATTTTGGTTAATTTCTCATGTCCCTCCATTCTCGGTGCAAACTCTATAAAACGTAATGTGAATTACTCTGTGGTAGGTTGGAATTGATTGTCATGTCCCGACCTATCTCTAAATACTACTCTAATAAATGATAAAAACATTATCTTTACTGCTTTCCTCTAATGACCTTAACATATTTTCAGTTTTGGTCATGTAGTATAGGCACTGTAAATAAGCATTAGTGACTATTTACTTAATCATAAAACAAAAGCCTTCATGACGTTAAAGAAACAATAATAAACTAATTATAACATATAAAATCTCAAGTGACTTCAGAAGACTTGACGGTTTAAAATTGAACTGTTTTTTTTTCTTTGGGCAAAAGGCTAGTGTTGTCTTTTATGCCACTAACAAACAAGAAACGGGACAGTATAATGAAAAGCAACGTCTTAAAATTTTGGCATTATTTGGAATTAATGATCATGGATTTTAAAGTTTAATATTATTATGGGAAATAAAAGAGGCAAGAGTTTTATAAATCATAGGAAATTTGACTGTTTTAGTGTAGTTAAACATGTATGTATACACGATAACTTTATGTATACATTGTATATACATATATAACTGTATGTATACACGATAACTTCCACGTTGGGCTCCATCCATATTTTGTTACGGCTTAATTTGTGGCTATTTTATTTAAATCGGATAACTGCATGTTTCTATTTTTTTTAATTTAGATATTTATTTCGGCAACTTATTACTTATAAATCAGGAAAAGAAATTAAATTATTATAAAGTCTTTATAGACTTAATTATTTAGTAAAATAGTTGTATTTAAAACACAATTATAAATATACTGTGATATTAAGTCTAATTTAAGGAAGTAGAATCCTTTAAAGGAATTGTATGAAGGTTTCTTTCTTTATACCGAAAATTCATTATTATTTTAATTTCTTGCACATTTTTTCAAATTCTTATCCTGTCCTGGATTGTTCATACGAATGATCTGACAATTGATCGTTTTTTTTCTTAAAATCAACAATTTCAGTTAGGTGTAATTCTAAATCAAAGGAAACAGTTTCTGTTTAAAGAAAATCTGACTATTGTGAAATATTAATATCAGTTGCTTTATCCTATGGTCAAAATTTTACGACCTCGGTGGTCTAGCGGTTTAGTACACCGCTTTACGTCCGATAGTCACGGGTTCGATTCTCACACGGCACAAACATTTGTATTCATGTGTATGATTGTTTGTATCGGTCTGGGTATTTTCTATGTAGTGTGTATGTTTCTAGCTTAACTTGGGTCTAGATGGCGCTGTGTGAATTGTCAAAAAAAAAAATTCATCGAGTTTGATTAACTATGGAGCTACGCAGCCTTGAATGGAATTCCTTCAATTGTTATAAACCGTTTCGTCTCGTATATTACACAAGCAGCAATTGTATCAGTTTTTATTTCAGACATATTTATTTATTTATTATCCCTAAAATTTGCATCACATAATATTCTTACTTTTGCAAAAAACAACATAAAGTTATATTTAAAACTATATACATATGTGTGGCGGGTAATGGCCAGGTGCATAGTACTTCTCATGATTTAAAATGCAATAATGTAGTAAGTACCTACTCATTCTTAATAATTATTTTTATTATCATCATCATCTCAGCCCGGAAAACGTCCATTGCTGAACAAAGGCCTCCCCCAAGGATCTCCAGAATGATCTGTCCTGCGCTGCGCGCATCCAAAGCCTTCCAGCGATTTTGACCAGATCGTCGGTCCACCTTGCTGGAGGCCTTCCCACGCTGCGACTTCCGGTCCGCGGTCGCCACTCGAGGACTTTACTGCCCCAACGGTCATCTGTCCTTCGCGCTATGTGCCCTGCCCACTGCCACTTCAGTTTTGCAATTCTTCTTTTCAATTATTATTATTTATATAAAAAAAAACTAAATATTACCTCCACATAACACGTGCTTCTGAAGCTGCGAGTAACCTAAATACAGTATAATTGGAACCCAGCACATTGGCACTAAGTACCAGGGTGTAAACGTCATGCTCTCAAGGATGGAGCTTTCGAAGAGTCTACACTTTCTATACACTGCACTGTTCACCCACTGATCGTAATGTGGCGCAATGGCATCCAATTGCCGAAGAAGAGGTTTCGACCAATCCAGGCGGGCCTGAAATAAATTATGAAATTAATACTTAATACATTTAAAAATACATGAAGGAGGACTACTGGCCGAATGGAGGTGGTGCCGTGACCAATCAAAGTCAACAAACATCCATACATACTCACACACTTTCGCGTTCATAATAATCATAAGACAAGATGTCTATAATGTATTTATAATATGGGCATAGCCTGAATTAAATAAATACACATAAAAAACACCAGACCAATACAATAATCATATTCATATATACAAAAATTTGTATTATGCGAGGATTGAACCCGCGACCATCAAAAGTAAGGCGGTGTGATAACCTAACCTAAACCGCTAGACCTCCGAGGCCGTCGACACTTTGTATACGTGATCTGTACTTATCTAGTGATATTAGATCTGTTCGCGATATAAAATCTGTGCTTCTAGTGAGAAATGACTTAATTCAAATAGAATGATGTTAGGTATGTTAGTAGAGGCTGTATTTATATTCAGATTTGTTGTATATATAGAAGATATATTACAATAAAAGTTAATTACAAACAAAGAATAGTATAAAACAATTAAGAATTAGGAGCTCAAGAAAATTAGTGTGCTCAAAAAGTCAATTTTGTTATTTCTTTATTTTTCCCGCGCAAATGAAATACGCCACAGAAGCACTATTGCATGAAGTGCAGTCGCAGTAGAATGACGTGCGCATCAGCTGTATAGCGATATTAAACACTATTATGAGTATTAACAAATAGAATAGAAAAATATAAACCTATTTTCGTATAAATGTTTAATTCTCATTTATTCCTTTTGCTCTGCTCCTATTTATAGGAACTGTAACGTTTGTTCTGACCAAAATTCAAGTTTTTTTTATCCAAATAGTTCCAGAGATTAAAACATTCAAAAACTTTAACTTTTGAAATCCGACTGATGGTTTCCGAGGTTTGTGATTTCAAACAAACAAACTTTTCAATTTAAATCCATTATATACTTTATGTTCTAAATACGAAAGTGTTACCGTGTTAGTCTGTTTGTCTTGTTGTTACATTTTCAAGATCAACCGGCGGATCTAATCTTAGTTAAATTTGATGTGAATGTAGATGGTATCACAAGGACAGATATAGGCTTATCTGTTATCGCAAATAAGAGACGAAATCGTGACTAACATCTAGTATAAATAAATAAATAACTCAGGACAATTAACACAGCGCTATCTAGTCCCATGGTGAGCAGAGCTTGTGTTATGGGTACTAGACAGCTGATATAAATACTTAGTTTTTTTTGTAAATACATACATTGTATCACTCTGTGTGTTTTCTATGTACATATATATATAGAAAACACCGAAACTGATACAAACAATCATACTCATGATTACAAATATTTGCACCGTGCGAGGAATCGTGTGAACAACTATAATATTTTCTAGGCTTGCTTGAAGAAATCTCTTTTTAGAGATAGGCTCGCCCTTGTACATTACATTCTTTTCCTATGTGTGTGTACAATAAAGAATAAAGGAATGGAACCCGCGACCATCGGAAGCAAGACGGTGTGCTAAACCCCTAGACCACCGAGACCGTCACGTGAATCTTTAATTTGCTAAGTATTTACTTTGTAATTAGATCACTATCCATGGACAATAGTATGTAAGTAGGAGCAACTCTTAATAGCCTATTAAGCTAATCGAAATGCTAATGCACGCGTGATAGCGAGCAATATATCTTGCATAAGTTCTATGAAGTTCTGGAAGTGTGTGAATTTGTTTTATGCGTAAGTATTCAGGGCCGGATTATGTAAATGTAAATTGGACTCCAGTCTCCGCAACTAGCCTCTCATTTGGACCGTTGTGCGTGTAGAGCCAGACTACTAAAGTAGCCAGCCAAGCTCCTCCCAAAAGCGCAGATGTCTCCTAGTGTTTACACAGGCTTCACGGAGCGACCTCACCGTTCCGAGGATTTGTTTTCGTTATGTGGCCACTGCTCCAGGATTACGTTAGGCACGGATTAATCATTAGGCAGATTAGGCTACTGCCTTTTCTTTTTTCGTGTGGAAAAATCTTTAAAAGACCGTTCGAACTTTCTTTTGATCTTTTGAATGATTCTTGTCCTCTAAAAAACCATTTGGTACCTACGTGCGTCATTGTTGTAGTTACGAGGTCATGTTAGCATATATACCGCGGCTCCGGCAGCGATAATCCACCCTGTAGATAGCGTAGGGCAGGCCCTATCTCGTTGTTGGGCGATCTACTCAATTGTCGAAGCATGTGGGTGCGCACGCCTCCAGAACCATTTGATTGGGGTGCTACCTCTCTCATGGTGGGCATCGCGTCCCCAGTAGGAATAAAGGTAGGGCGGAATTGGGTACCCCACTGGAATAAGCAACTGCTTAACCAGTATCGCCTAGCCCATGGTATGCACAGAACAACATTTTTTTTTAAGGACAAAAAAAGCAATATTATATTTAAGACTTATCCTGCTAATTAATAAAATATTACATATTTGTAGAATAGAACCAGCCAATATTCAGTAGTATAACTTACGTTGCGTATATTATGATATATATTCTTTTTATTAATAAAATATTGTATAGTCTCATAATACATCTACATACATAGAATTTAACTGAGCGACAACAATGTACTTGACCAGGAGACTCAACTTGGTAGATTCGGCCCTGTATATAAATAGGTACCTATATCTATATAGTAGACAGTTTTACAATTTCATACTTTTTTACCGAATTATTATGACTCTGTGCACCCGCTTTCACTACGGTATAAGAAACTATATAATTTAAGCATATTTGTAATGACATATTTACCGAAGGTAGGTAAATACTAAACGTGTGCCTTTTCCCATCACTGCCCTTCAACCGGATTCTGTTTTTACCCAATGAATAGCAGGTAAACAATGCCATATGGCGTTAAGTCGCTGATGGTACGCATATTTTTAAATAGTGTAATAAATAAATAAACTACGCTGACATACCAGTGGAAACCTGGAAAGCTGGGCACCAGTGGAAAATGATCAATGTCTCCTACCTGACAGAGATAAAATCGAATGAATTGAAATCGATCGGGGATCGAAATTACGAAGGCCTGTGTAAGTAAAAGTATTGAATGTCACCGCTACATCGCTAAATGGATCTTTGATATCTAATTAGTTTTGTATAATGACTAATTTCCTGATAAAACATCATAATGCAGTACGTCATGTCAGTGACGCAAATTCAATCTGGCGAAATGCGAAATTATTAATACAAAAGTATCGATCGACTCACAGCAATGAATATCTAATATAATAATCAATTTAAAACGTACTTACACTGAAACCCTACCGTACTATACCGAGGGGAGAAGGATGGGGCAGAGGTTGCTGACCCCTGAACCTCCCCTGAAAATTGTGTACTTTACAATAACCATACATTACAATAACTATTAAAAAATCTTGCTTCCTAAAGGACACAGTTACATCAATATAACATATGCATTTAATAATGTTAGTAAGACAAATAAAATATTGTCTACTAAGCACTGCCGTGTCTAAACTGTGTCACCCTACCTTACATTTTCCTATTGTTATTTAATATATAAGATCAATATTTTTATGTACAATTGGTCAGTTTTTTATCACCTGTATCTAATATACATCGTCTCAACCGACTCTAAGAGTGGCTATAGATTTTTAGTGGGCTACCCTTGTCTGAAATTCTGACCGCGTCTGAAATTGGGTACGCACATGTACTTGATTATATATGTATAAAAAAAGGTTTGAATCGGTTCGCAATTGTCACTGTCAAATAATAGAGACGTAGCCAAAAATCTATGATTTTTAATCTGTTTAAATTTATACAATACTAGCTTTGTTTTGCCATATAAATTAAAGTACTAATATCATTATTAAAAATAGAGATTGGTGGTTCGTTATTGAAAATAGAGAAGGGTGAAAATTTAGGGTTGAATGTATTTTTTGATGTATCAATATAAAAAAACAAAAACAATTTTGTCAAAAAATAAATGTTAGTGGTGGACAATCCTTAACACTTAAGTATATGAAAAATAGATAGTAGCCGATTTTTAGACCTACTCCGTACGCATATAAAATTTCATAAAAATCTGTCAAGCCGTTGTGGTGGAGTATGGTAACTAACATTGGGACACAAGAATTTTCTATTTAATATTTAATTTGCGTGTTCCATAATAAAGACCACATAGAGTAAATTGTGTACTTTACAATAACCATAGGTAGGTACTGCTTTAATTTTAATGTATGTATGATATAATGATATAAGTTTCATAACAACAATAATTATATTACATATGATTCTTTTTACAATGACGACATCCAAATCAAACATATTTTTTTATTCAAAAAACAACATAATGAACTGTTATATACTTAATTGATTTCAAATATATTACTTAATAATATTATTTTTCTTCTGAGTTGGGCACACAGAGGTACATAAATACGGTATTTATAAACCATTTTAATGTTTTTTTATATTACAAAAATGTAGATTTAAATTGGATATTTATTCTATAGAAATTTCATCACAAATCGATTTAGTTATTTGTTATTTCAATTTAAATAATTCATAACAGTCCCAATGAACTATAGACTGAAGTTGGTATTTTATAATATCCTCAATCAAATTAATTATTTACAATACTCGTCTAATAAATACCAAAATGAATAATAAATTTAAAATACCTCGGTGATCTTGCCGTGGGAATATAATTGTAATATTATGCCAATTCTCAGGCCAAGAAAACAGAGGTGGATTTTGTACATGTGATCTGCATCCAGCTTGCTTTAGGTATAGCCGTTTCAGTGTAAAGGATGACATATGGCAGTGAAATTATAGGTATGAGAGATTGAGAACATAACAACTAGTGAAATAGAAGTAAGAAATAATTAAAAAAATTAAAAATATTTCTTTTTTTTATTGCTATTCCATCAAATGGCCATTTAACCTTCCAGTTACATAAAAACGCAACAGGCTGCTTTATCAATATAGGTAAT